GGCCATCCATGGCCTTGCCCCCTCCTACCTCCCACCTCTCTCCCTCCCTCACCCCTACACAACCCCTCCCCCATGCTCAGGCCCTGACAGCTGACTGTTCAGCGCTTTGGGAAGTCCTCCCGATGTGAAAGTCACTCTATAATATAATTGTGTTGTTATTGTTGATGTTGACAGAATCCCCCCACTGATCCAAACTATGTCAATTTGTTTGATAACAGCCTATTGCTGCTACCTTGGACTTCAATTGTGTAGCAATCTAAAATAAGCAAAACATAAATTACCAAAGTGTCACCAGGAAACTAAATGAAGCCACCCTGAAGAAATGTTGTACATTACAGCTGGTTTTGGTCAGTGGGAGTGTTATAAACACATTTTTTAAGAAGCCAAACTTCAGTTCTTGCAGTGGGAGTAATTTGCACAAGCACAAAGGAGACTAAACAACTTCAGCCTACGAAGGAACAGATTTGGTTATTTATACATCTGAGCCAGCCATGAGGAGGCAGACAAGTCCGCAGGCATCCAATACATTGTTGATGTTGAGCAGATGGTCTGTAATATTACTGAGATCAGGAGGTATAATCATGTCCTCAGCCCGGGGAGCCCAAACTCCCAAAAGGTAAGATATCCCAAGCTGGTCAAGCTGTATGTTTATTAAAAATTTTGTAACGGTCGTCTGAATTAACTTCAATTAGTGTATTAAGAATAACTGGAATGTGTACAGGTGAGTGGAGAGGTTTTATTTTTGCTCAAGATTATTCTATTAGCTGATGATTCAAGCAATTACTATACACTTAAAGCCATCTCATAATCCCTGCAAGTATACAAGTATATTATCTGTGAATTATCACAAATGAAGATAGTATACCCATGCAGTCTTAAAGTTCATAGCAATTGCACACCTATCTATTATTCAGTTTGCCCTAATAAGTTAATTGAACACAGCATTCCAATACAGACCACTGGTGAGGATTAACCACCACAAAACACTCAGAACATTTGCAGCTATTTGCTTTCAATATGTTTCACATAAACCACTCGTACCGTTTCCTTTTCAAGGGAAAACTTTTAAACTGGAGCCCAGGCAAACTGGAGCTTTTTTCCCCACCCAGCAATCACCTTGGCACAGGGTGGAGCCAAAGCATTCTGTTTGCCCTTAAGAGCGAAGGACACACCTTGTTTATCACTACATTCCTAAAACAAGCTAAAAAAACAATTATTTTAACATGAAGCAATTAAGTCTTGATTGCCAATGTACGGAGTGCAGTGGTCACAAACTGCAGCACTCATCACTGTTGATAGTTGCAGTCTCGCTTCAACCATATGAGAAAAACTGTCTAAATAGAGTTAGCTTATTTGTTCTAAAGCGAAGAACAAACCGGGTAAAATGAGGCACAAGGTGGAAAGGAGCAAAGATATTCAAACAAAAACCAAACAGTAAAAGGGAAACAAAACAAAATTTTAATGCAGACGAGAGGAAAAAACAAGGGTTTGTAAGTACAGTCCTTCACACTGGGTTGTGATGCCCACCTTGTAATCAAGCTTCACCACAATCTTCATTTAAACACTATTCCACCAATCTTAACTGTAAGCGTGCAGGCAGTTTTAAATAGTAATGGCGTTTTAAAAAAACAATGTCTTTCAAATGAAACAGTGCATCTGCCAGGCTGTGGTGTTTGAAACTTGCAGCTCACTCGTCATCAAAAAGAAAATGAAACCGTCAAAGTGCATTGTAGCATTTGGCTCTCAACACTTCCCGTTCGAGCCATTTTTTTGTTTCAAAAGAGAATTTGCGACAAGTCCTACACTGAATGAAAGTCAGTTTATTGTCAGTCAAGGGCTAACTGGCTCAACCATTCAGCAAGTCTTTCAAAGCAAATAGTTGTTTTGGGGCCATGAATGTATGTTTCAGCATGCCTACCAACATTTTGCAAGTTTTGCTAGTCCGAGTTTAGCAAAAACTGATTCAAAACTACTTGTGCTTTCTTTTTGAATGTTTAATTCTTCTTTTTCTAGGGTTTACTCAGAATAAACAAAAAATATGTACTCCATCCAACCACCATTCATCCCCACTGATCCAATATTGCCCTTCAGATTAAGTCTTATGTCTAAATGCTGAAAGTAAATTTAAATTGGCTTTGTACAATAGTATTAATGTCTCTGCAACTTTGATCCATCCAACTGAAATGGAATGACGGGTGGGGAAAACTATCCCAGAGAAATAAGGTATCAGCAGCAATTTTGAATATTACATGGAGACCGGAATCAGGTCAACCACATGTTATAGATGAACCACACGTATGCCTGAGGCTAAGACACCCCTCTCTCTCTCGCTCTTTCTCTGGGCAGAATTACTGATCTCCTTCTCGCTGGGGCTACACAAGGGAAACGAGAATCTGGATTCCAGTGAAACAGTGACCACCCCCCACCACCCAGCACTCACTCTGCAGGTTCATCAAAACCATAATAATTTGGTCACTTCAACCCACGACTGTTTGTGAGACGCTGCTGTGTGCAATTGGCTGCCGCATTTCGCCCACAAAATACAGTCAATTCACTTTACAGTTTATCCTATGAAGAGCTTTGAGGCGTCTTGCTATATCAAATGTAAGGATTATTATTATTATATAACAGTAGATAATTGCCAATGCACTGTACTACTGAAACAACTTTTCTAGAATATATACCTCCAGTACAAACGTAACCTGATTCGCACCAAAACGAACAGATATTGAAAACACCATCAAACTACAATACAGTATTGTAACGATCAGGCCAGAGTCACACTAATCTGGAAGACTATCTGATAAAAAATAAACTACTGTATATTAACAGGATATCCACAAAGACACCTGTACTTCCCAAAAATGTGTGGATATGTTTTACTAAAATGTAGCTCTAGCAGACCACGAGGAAACATCCAGGAAGTTGAACAATATCTGTAAAACATTGTTCCTTCCCCAAGTAATATTTGTAAAAGATAATAATAAACAGCGTGGGTCAGTTTCAGAACCATATTGTGTGCTTTCCAAGCCTCTAGCCTCGTTTTGCCCTAGATTCTTGACAAGCAGGCTCAGAAATCAGAGAACAACACACAAAGCAGGCATTCTGACATCTCTAGAGTCAACCAACTAAATCGCATCTTCCATGTGATTCCATAGGTCTTATTTCTACAGCCAATTGGTTATATCATCTTACAGCTATAGAATGATGTTGGAAATTCTCTTCCTCTTCCCCCCCCACAAAATCACAGGGCCAATCGCTCACATCTTTAAAGACCTTTTTTTTAAAAAAAAACAGCCACGAAGACAACCTCATCCCTTTCGATTTGCAAACTATCAAACAAAGGGTTTGGGAGCTCCACTCCAGCCTGTGGCGATCGGACAAAAATGCAACTCCATCAAATTCAGCAAGCAGCAAAAACACACAAACCTATCCTTTATTTTTAAAAATTAAGTACACTGAATTAAGTAATTGAGCGTGAAACTTGGTGGAAATAAGGGCAGGTCTTTGTACTTGGCTAATTCTCCCCTCCCCACCCCCCACACCTCCCCCTCCTCTCAAAAGGAAAAAAAAAACAGCTTTAATGCTGACAATTGCTAATGCTTCCAAGACTCGATGGAAAACACTGCAGCTCAGTCCAGTAGGTTTACGTGTACATCAAGTTCAAAGCACTTTATCTCGCCAAGATCTACCAGTCACACAGATCACCAGACGTGGGTTCTCTTCCCATAACACACAGACAAACACATATAGCGGATATAGAAAATAAAATCAGCCTTAAACCATTAAAAGTGCGTGTGGGTGTCAAACTATCGCAGGGTCGGATGCGTTTGCTTTTAAATAAAATGCTGCAATGACTGGTTGCTGGGCTGCGCTGTGCCCAGAGGAGAGGAGGAGGAGGAGGAGGAGGAGAGAAAAAAACATTTGTGAGCAAACAAACTAAAACCGTGCAGAGATTGGGGGTGGGAGGGGGGGGGGGGGGTGAGGGTTATTGTTTATTGCAACTGGATCAGGGGCCCCACAAGGAAGCACTGCCTCTCTCTCTCTCTCTAAAATAAAATATAATGATGGTGGGTGTGGGGGAGAGAGAGAGAGGGAGACTTTTAATGTAAAACGAGAATTAATTGAAAGGGGAAATAGGAGGCACTGAAGGACCACATCTAAAGGACGTCTCCTGAACGTGTGGCTCCCCTTTTGTCGTCTCTGCACTGCCTTCTCCAACTGCATTTTTTTTTGGGTGGGGGTGTGGTGGGGGGGGTCTAATTTTGTCCCTGTCCCGTTCTTTTTCTCGCTCCCAAATCCCCCCCTTTTCCCACACGTCGTGGTTTAAATGGGACCGCAATTCCAACTGACTGTTGGGGAAATCTAAACAATAAAGTGGAAACGCAGCTTTAATAATAACTATTCTTATGAGAAGAAGATGAGACGTGATGATGGTGGGGGTGGGGGGGAGGGGGGAGAGAGCCCACGTTTGGTGGTCTACGTGCTTGATAGAACTCAGCCGGAATGAAGTAATTATAATAATAATTATAATAATAATCATAACAATAACAACAACAGTTGGATTATTTTGTTTAATAAAAGTGGGATGTGTGTGTGTGTGTGTGGGGGGGGGGGGGAGGTGGGGGGGGGGGAGAGAGAAAGAGAAGGATATAAAATGAGTCGAATGCCTTTCGAACACATCCCTTAAGTGACCCCCGACGAGTTTTGATTTTTTTTAAAAAAATAAATATTACATAAACGTATATATATATTATTTTTTTTTAAAAATCCCCCAAAAGCGGAGAGAGGAGACGAAACGAGTCGGGAGTGGCCTTCCTAAAAACTTCCTCGCCCACCCCACCCCGAACCCACCCCACCCCAACTGACCACCGACCCTCACACGTACGCGTCTTCCCCCCCCCCCCCCCCCCAGGGGGGACGGGGGGGGGAACGGGGGACGGACATAAATCGAGCCCGAGGCCTCGGCAGTTCCCCCGGAGGGGCCTTCGCCTCCTCACCTGTACGCCAGAGTCATGCACTCGAAGAGTTTGGTGAGGGAGGCGTCGATGGAGAGGTGCGAGGTGCTGAGCGGCCCGAAGCAGTAGGTCTGGCACGTCTGCCGGTTGACCGTGTCGAAGTCGTAGCCCTTCTTGGGCGGGTGCTCGCTGTGAGGCGACGACACCATGAAGTGGCCGCTGTGGATGATCTGCGCCTCGCCCGCCTTCCTCACGCTCGCCTCGGCCTCCTCCGCCTCCTCGTCCGCGTCCGAGTCGTCCTCCGGCTCCTGCTTGATGTCGCCCGGCGGCCCGGCCGAGCGCAGCAGGAACACGTCCTTGGCCATGATGGCGGCGGCGGCGGCCGTTACTTCAGCTCAGTTCAAACCGCGAAGCGGGAGAGCGAGGGAAGCGGCGGCTGCTCGGGCCGCAGCCATTACCACCGCTGCCGACATGGGAGAGCCGGCGCCACCGCCGAGACCGCCCCCCCCCCCCGCCCCTTTTATTTGCTTTTCTCTCCGCCGACTCGTCCCCCCCGCCGTCCAATCGCCAGCGTCCTCCGCCCAGCGTTCTTAAAGGGGCTCGCCCCCGCCACCGCCCCTTTTATTGCCTTTATCTCCCCGCCGACACAACGCCCAGCTTTCTTAAAGGGATCCGCCCCCCTCAAACTAATGCTGGAAAAAAAACATCCAGCAGCGAAAGTGAAGGAGAGGGAGAGGGAGAGAAAGGAGGGACAAGAGAGAAAAAGGATATAAAGAGAGAAAGCAGGGGGGTGTGGGGAGAAGAAACAAGAGGGAGGGAAATAAGGAGATTTCTAAATTGAAAGGGAAAAAAAATGTGCAGGAGTTTTGGTTTATTAACGCATTCATTCACCGAAATTCTATCTTTAACCCAACAAGGACTAAAATTAAGGGGCAGTTGATTTGGAATTTAACTTTTTTTTTGGTGGGTGGGTGGGTGGGTGGTGTGGGGGTGAGAAGAGAGCGAAGAGGGATCTGGTTACCACCGATTACACACTAAATTTTCTGAATTAAAAGTTGTTTTCGAGCTATTTGGTTTTAATCCAATGAGATTTCGTGGATTATTGATCACTGGGTTTGTTCCGTTTAAACTCCGTGGTAATGGAAAGTAATACGCTTCCTTATTATTCTGAAAAAGATTAGAGATACTAAAATGCACTTTGCTGCAATTGTTCGCTGGGCAGAGATTCCATATCTCTGGATATTGCACCGTCAAACACGTACCAGTCACCGCGCTCTCTATTTTAAGAGACTGGGGTCATCGGTAATGTTTACTGAAACCACAGAACCAGTTTAAACCGTAATTAGCTGGTTGATGGTTACGTTTGTATATAAATTGATACGACTGCATTTTCATTTAAAAAGCGTATAGTTTCGAACAATTTAAGAAAAGGCTGATACACCACGGCCAAATGCATTCAATGAGTTAAGTCGGATGATAGTAATTTTGTTTATGATAACGCTAATACATTAAAAAAGTATAGCCAGCTAGTTATTGAGATAAGAGAACAGGGATATTGATGATCACAATCTGCCTTACAAAGTCCGATTTAGCATGCTATTCAAAATGTTCCAGTGAACTGGTCCAGACCATCTAAGTCAGCCAATGTCAAAGCAGAAATGGATAATTTGCTTGCCAGTCAAATAAGGGCATCCTTATGCACGCTAGCGGGAGTGTGACTAGTCGCAGAGTTCGTTCTAAGACCCAGCATGGGCATGATGGTTCAAATGGCCTCTTTCTGTGCTGTACGATTCCATGTTTCTATCTAAAGACAGCGGAAAGAAGCATTGAAAAGTGAGCGTATGGCAGGTGAGGGGGAGCCCCCGTCACATTAAAACTAGATAATGCAAAAGTAATTCTTCCTTTTACTTCACTTTAACAACTTTGTTTAACAGCAGTGCTTTTAATTCACTTTAAAATGAGCCCTAAAACGGCCATGACATGTAAGGTTATTAAGACATACCAATCAACTTGCTTGACAAAGCACAATCTACGTAAGTACCTCGTCTCAAATCTTACCTTTTCTGCATCGTTCATCACATTTATGTTTAAACTGTTCTTCTCTCCTTCCCACCGCCCATGAAGTGAAAAGCCCACATCATGGCCGTTTGTGGGACATTGCTGTGTGCAAGTTGGCTATCAAGTGTGCAAGAATGATAACTTGGGGAAAGTGTCAGACATCAACCGACACCCACAAGCCTAGATCTGCCCACAAGTCAGACTGAGGGACAAAGATGGAGGGAAAAAAATCCGAACAGCAATAAAAAGTACCACGCCATCGCTGTACAATTTTTTATTCATGAAAACAGAGTCATTGTACATGGTACAAACCATACGTAAGAGAATAAATAAGAAAAATAAATCATACTGCTGTACAACACTGCATTTTAGTTGGAAATGTTTTTTTNCCATGATAGCTTGGGTCTCTACAAATCATAACAGGCCTTTAAAAAGATGGGCAGTCCTGATTAACTACATTGCCTCTGGTTGACAGCTGGACAGTATTCGTGACATTTTCTGTCTGTACAGTTCGGTGTAAAAGTAGCATGGAATTAAAGAACTAAGAACGACAGTCACAAGACAGTGACCTGTCCTGTGGGTTGCTAGCAAATACAAGCGCCTGCACTTACGACTACAACATTTTGGAATGTGGTATTTTTAATTTCTTGCAACACCAAAAAAAATTCCATAAGCAAAATTTGAAACTCACAACTATTGCTGAAATACAGACTTAAAACACTTATTCAGGTTTTATACTGCACACCAGCAATATACTGTACAGTATATGGAAATGCGTTTAAATCGCTCTCACGGTGGGGGCGGGAGGGAACATAAGAGGAACAAAAACTGTAACAGAAGCTCCAACATTACAAATATATTTTAGAGGAAAACAAGAAGCAGTCAGTCTTTTTTCCTTTTTTTGACAACTGCATTAAATGGATCCAAAAAAAATCTACGTTGTAGCGGAGTGGAAACACCTTCCACTAGAAGCTTTAACATACCACTGTACAAATGTCCAATGCAGATACCGGCAATAAACAAATTACACTAACAAAGGGTTGTACAGAAGCTAGCTTCATCAGCAAAAAACAAATTCAGTTCTGGAGGCTAGACTAGAACCAACTTTTCGCTTTAAAAAATTAACACCACATCTATAAAATGCATCAGTGTTGCTAAGCATTTAAAAAGTTTACATCATCGAGATCCCTTTCAGGACACAAGGTATTGAATTGTACCCTTCTCACTGTAGCTGTCCTGAAACTGACAAATACCCTACCAAAATTACTCACATTAATTTCTCGTTTGGGTTATCCTTCACCTCATCACACACTTATTCAATGCACCATTAAAATATAATTTATTTTGGTTAATGTATTCAAAGTGTACAAAACCAATACAAGAAGGTAGAGCTGAGCAGTAGCAATTACCGCGGAACCGAGCCGGAAAGAAAACAAGTAACAAACGTTGCCAGTCCCCAGTAGTTTGTAAAGTATCACAGTAAATTAGAACTAAACCATCATCCCATGGAATAGCTGAAGTCAATCGAAGGTAAAATAGGATAAATTATTTCTGGCAACAACAAAAAAAAACACTAGAAGGGTTTGATTAAATGGAACCTTTCCACAAGTCGTGTTCCTATCTGCAATGTTACCATCTAAGAAAAACACAAACTAAATACAAACCGACTCAGACACCTACGTTAGTTCTTATACAGCAATTTTTTTCAAATAGTACATCCTTCGAGAATTAATTAAGAAGCACCCTGTATCTCCTAACTACTGCTATTGAAACCTGTTTTTTCTGTTAAGGGAATCTGCAGAACAGTTGACTTGATTCTGTGATCGCACTACTTGCAATCTGTTCCCATTTCTAGTCAGCCAAATTTAATTTAAACACAGAGGCTTGATGCACACAGGAAACACAGCTTGGGTTAGTAAGACAAACATTCCCCACATCCCTCTGACGCACAGCATCCAACCTTATGCAATTAAAAAAGTGCCAAGTGACCAAAGTAACGGCACAGAAATGCTACATGTGAAAAATACAAATTGGGAGTTGTTAATTAGAACATTGATTTCACATCATGGCATCTCCAAATCGTTGGACATTTTCCAGTACTATTTACTCCTAAATTCTGTATAATGCAGGCACGTGACTGTAAATGGGTTACATGGCCTGAGACACTTGCAATCCCCTTGAGACATCTCAATCTAGTGTTGCACAAAGCATTTCCTACACTACCCTGACAGGACCACTCGTGCATGCAGAGTAAGTCACTAGCCGTGTCACCAGACAACGCCCAATATTTTTTCTTCCAAAAATCCATAAAACATAATTAAGGGAAAAAATAAGTTTCTCCCCACCCCTGCTAAAAAGGAAGTTACAGTACACTTTGTTAACCAAATGAAAAGACCTGCTTGATTCACTGTCTCACATGATTCTCGAAACAAACTACTATGAATGCTAAACAAACATTGGAGAACATGGAAAATAAAGTATAAATACAGGGCAATGCTACATACACTTTGAACTCTCTCCTACTCTTGCTTCCCAACTCCAAGATTTGGTCATCAATAAATATTCACTTAATTTTATGCTTTCCAAATCTTTCAATCAACAACACTTTGATGTCAGGCACAGTGACAACAGGGAAATCGATACTTGCAAGACTGGTAATTGAGCACAATGCATTTCCATTGCCCCCTCAAAAGCAAGCACCCATTACGTGTCAGTGCAACACAATGTGCACTTCACCTTAATACCTTGAATATTACCTCAGCCTTGGAATGCTTCATATTCAATGCAAATTTGATAAAGTTGGGACGATGGATCTCAAATACAAGCATTCAACAAATCGTTCAGGTATTAGATAAGTGGCCAGATGGGAATAAAAGTCACAGGCATAAGAAGCAATCAAAACCATTTAACAGTAAAGACTTTCACTCGATGAATGATGTGTGGCAGTCTACCAACCTTTTGGAAATTGAATTGAACCCCGTGGAAATATTCACACCTCCCTCACTTGTTATTCCATTGCTCGCAGCCTGTGAAGCTTTTATGCAGCGAGTTTCACCTTGATGTTAATGCACAAGGTTAGGTAATTTGAGAATCCTTGCAGCTTCTAATATTCTTTTTCTATACTTACTTAATTTAAAAAAATGAATTTGTACTTCCCACCAAATCCTGCTTATGCTTGAAAACGATTATCAGTAGTGAAGTAGAATATTCAGTAACTACATAATTTCTAAACTGAAATCTTAAAAAGATTTTATATATTATAGAAACAGGACATGATGCTGTATAAAGGAGTTGCTTTTTCGGGGGTGGGGGTTGAGATGGCAGCCATTTGTTTTTAAACGAAAACTGTCTTAGCACTATTCACTACTTTGAAGTTTTAATTTTACCGATGGTTCCACAGGGTGGTCAATTTAAAACCAGCTTAATAAAAACTCCCCATCGAAATTGACTTCATCCAGATATTTTCTTTCTTACTTTTTTTTTAAAAAAGGAGGTTGGGTTGACTTCATACCACATTCAAGCAAATCTGGAGTACAGATATGTAGGGAGTCTTTCAAAGTTACAAACTCAGTGTGAAAAGGACCCACTCATTCAGACTTGTTTGTTGCACTTGCTAACATGATTAAACAGAATCTTACTAATTCAAGGCATTGTGCAAACAGAGGGCACTTTCAGTAAGATAGTGGCAAAAAGTTCTTTTTAAAAAGGAGGCACAAAATGGAACCGAATGGCATGAACAATGGATTTCACACACAGTAAATCTGACCTGTACCATTAAATATTTTACAACATAAATAAAAGAAATGAAAAATACAGCAGCAAAAACGTGATCTTGACAAGTTTTATAAACTACCAGTGCGTAAACCCTCCTGAGTCCATTTCTTCCATCCGCCCCACTCTTAACAGTGAAAGTAATTTAAATACATAAATGACCATAATGTGCATTTCACAGGAGAAATTCTTCAGCATTGTATCGGTCCAGCCTTCCCAAATTAGCTTGGATCATGACCTAACATCCGTCTGTGGTCAGTGGTTCCTCTGTGTTCAGTAATGTGTGAAGGTTGGTCTGAAAGGAAGCCTGTTGATGTACCTTGAAGTGGAAAGTGACCCCACAGTTTTCTCGACAGCCTAGCTCTCCTCAGCACTCTGCTGAGAGTTCTCTGTTCTCATCTTTTTTGGAAGTGATTCCCCGTCTTCAGATTCCTACAAGGAGCGGAACAGTCAGGATGGATTGTTGCAGACCAATAGCTTACATTACAATATACAGATTCATGGATTTCCCCCTCAAATTCTGAAGAACAAAGATTGCTCACCAAGACTGTTGGTTTATATACTAAGCATTGCAGAGAAGGATGACAATTATTCTACATAGTCAAAATCTGATGAGCTGAAGTGTACTTTAACTATATGAAAAGTTTACACAGCAACCAGAGAACAGTTTGGTGAATAGTACAAATATCTGCCACAGGAATCAAGGCATCCATTGACAGATATTTGTACTTTGAATTTTTCAGCAGACCAACGAACAAATTTCTCCTTTATATTTTATGTGTGGAGTTTGTCCCTCGTGAGATTAAAGCGGTATAAAGCAGCAATAACCAGACTAAATAGAGGAGGGACTCCAACAGTGCAATAAAAGATGAGGAGCCAATGTGGTTTGCTTACATTAACCAGAACAGAGCCGATTATAACACTTTATAACTCAACATGAGCAAGGTTCAGTGGGCTTTACAGTAATTTGGCATTGCATTCACTCCATTAAAGCATTGGTGAAGGTGGAAATAAATGTCGTACTATATCTTGGGCAAACAATCATCTATTGATTCAATCCCACTAGAATGCAAGTCTCAGCAGCTTGTAGCTTAAGATCACGAATAGGTGATTTATTTTGTCCCCCCCCCCCAAATGCACACTATGTTGTAGTTATTTTCTCCTCTGTTTGGTACCTGAGTATCTTTGGTCTCTATGCTCTCCTCTTTGACTCCTGAGGGCTGAGCATCATTTTTTTCTGAATCGCTCTGGGATGGTTCTGCAGCAGTTTGGGAATTGGGCACCACTTGTGGCGATGTGCCTGCAACCATAAGGGAAGAAATACATTTAACAAGTTCATCTTTTACATGTAGGTCATTTGGATTTCACACGAAGAGACTGGAGTTCCTATAACATCACTGCAATATCACACAATAGGAAGAGGGTATAATTGTGGTAAATAACTCAAATTGGCAATGGCAGACCCCTGGTTCTTTTCTTTGAATTTAATAAGTATACACTTGACATAAATAGAAAAGTCTGTGCTTTGTTAGCTGCTCAGTCAAGGAATACCTAGGACGGATTAGCCAAGCTTTCTGATCTTGCTTGTTATACAGCAGCCATGTGTCGGCAAAATCAAGATTGGGCTTAGCTGGTCTAACTGCCTGCTGTCACTCACCAACAAGGCTTATGCATGAAACTATTCCCCCGGAGAAAAAGGAGTTAGGACGTCTTTAGAAGATGGGGTGGGGCTCACAGAAAGAGGGAAAATAAAACTTAATTTCTCAAAAACTAATTTCGATATAGCCAACAGTTTTTCCAAAGCAATATTGACATACACAAAGGTGCATTTGAAAAAAAACTGATTTTTCTGTAATCACTGGCTCCAAATTTAAATGGGACAGCAAACTGTCATTATACAACGTACAAATAGTAGCAGTAATGAGGTTTTAAAGTCAGCCAGTAGCTGTTGAGAGCAAAGTCCACACAGATATACACCAATGCTTCTAAGCAATACCCATCATAGAGGATTCCAAACAAATCTTAGTTCAACGTAGTATATAAGGTACATAAACAATCCATGACCTCTTGGTAAGCATTCTGTTTTTTAGTACCATGCAGTACAAACAATACAGCAGTGTTTCTCAACTTTGATCTATGGGTCAGGCTTAAAACCACCAGTCACCCATATTTTTCTACTCACAATCCCCACGAACCTACATACTCAAATAACTTTCTTCAAAATTTACACTAAATGTTTTCAATAGATTCCATACTAACATGTGGAACTGAAGTTGAATGATCAGTTACAGAATTCTGCACTGCATTTGTTGAATTACTAAAAAGCAAACATTATAAGTAAACTGCTTAAATAGCTGTGGCTACAGACAGACCTCCTTGCAAGGCATGCATAAGTAAACTGCTGCAGTCTATTTATCACAGAATTCTTTAATCACCTTTGATGCATTTTTCACTTCAGCACCTTTTTAGAAAAAAAAACTTCAATCATCAGTAAGTTTGATTGATTTGAATAACAAAAACAGATTTCTAGTATGGTTGAAAATGTACTTATGGTCAGTTCTTGTTTAACCTACATCACAGGAACAGTTTGTGCAAGAAATCAGTTCAACCTGAAGAGTTTACACAAAATATAAAGTCCATCTGGATAAAGGAAATTGCAGCATTGAAGCTCTTCATTCTTTGCAGCGTACATGTTTGTTTCAAGAACTATCAGTAAACCTCTTATACTGCCTTCCACACAGCACCCTTTGACAGTATTCTGCAAGTAAGAGCAAATTAATGTACCTTGTATTCCTGATGGTACATAAGGGACTGCAGAAGAACATTGATGATTTGCAGTTTTAGCTGAAAATTACGTTCAGGTTGAAAATACTCAAGTCAGGAGATGAACATTAAAAAGGTTTAACATGATTGAATAATTGAAAAGAATGATCACCTGTAAGGCCACGTGATATTCTGATTTGAGGTTAGGACCTTTCCAGAGAGAGGCCACTTTGCAAACTCCATGTACTGTCAATTAGAGAGTAGACCGTTCACCTCCCCAGAGAACAGGTCCTTTTGTGCATTATCAATTCAAAATCCATCCTGATCGTATCCTGGAGATCACACCACTGACAAGAACAGGAAATGAACTGTACAAACGCGATATAGAGATCTCCAGCAGCAGTAATAATGAATGCCTCTCAAGAAGCAAGAGAGAGAGAGAAAGGACTATATTGATCAAGCCTTTGGTTACTCACAATTTCTACAATTTTATTCCTATCTATTGTAGCAATGCATTCCATAGTACTTCCTGCTAACAAAGCACACCCAATCAGACTCTTCATTCATCAACTTCAGTGCAGATTGGCGTTCAGTACAAGTGACAGCAGTCACGTACTCTACAGTACATAAAAGTGAAAGTTAAAACTTCTAAAACTGCCTTGCAGGCTTAACAAGTCTTCACTTCAGGTAAAAATCCAAGCCATGCAGTTTTTATAGTCAATATAAAAGAACATCTACAGTTACACATAGCTTAACATAACATTTGTGAGCACTTGACATGGATCATTTCGCCCCTCTCCCCTCCCTGAGCAATATTCTGCATTTTTTCACCCTTATGTTTCGGTTAAATCATTGTACACAACATTCTGTAAAAATACAATAATCACATTCCTTGACACAATGATGCACATCACTAGCTCATAAAATTAAATTTTCCATAATTAGCAGTTTCACACACCTAAAGATATGTTCAGTTATCAATTTTATGGTTCCAGACCCATGATAAAAATCTTGATTGGAATCAACAACTGAATTTAAATTAGAGTCCATCAACTCACTACTAACAACTCTTTGAATAAACATAGTTGAAGCCTTACCCTCAGAGCTGGGCTGGTCTTTAGTGGGGGCCTGGGGTTCCTCTGCCCTCGCCTCAGTGCCCTCTGCTTGGATTACTGGGTTCTGCTCAGGTATGGGACTTGGGTTGCTGCTGTTCTCTTGTTTCATGGGGGAGGCATCTGTTATAGAACTCTGATTGCTGTTCTCATCTAATTAAAAACATTAACATTCAATTAGATTCAAGCATACACACGAGGACTGGATTTTTTCCACTTGTGCACCTATAGCAAAAGAACCTTCACATTTAAATATTGCAAACAAAGAAAATACATTGTGTGCGACTGAAGTTAAGACTTCACTTGAAGATTTCAAGTTGACTTCCTGTTGAAAATATGAATGATTGAAGTCTGTTTCAATGTAAATATGTTGCAAGTCAAAGTCAGGATCAAAAACACCTGACATATCAAGCTTCTATTTTCATTGTTAAGTTTCTATTCAACCTCTCTCCCCCAGTCTTTAGGATCATTACTCTACCCATTTCTACAAATCACTGCTACAATTGTGATGTGTCCCTTTGCTATCAAGATTTCTCCAAATGTTACTAAGATTTCAGCTGATTAGCCGGAGAGAGAATGAGAGGCAAAAAGCTGAACATTTTTTATGAAAAACTTGATATTGGACCAAACACAAACGGGTGAAATTCACCGACCTTGCATATCCATCATGCCCGGTGAGGAGCTGTTTTCAGGGGTGGTCAGTTCAGAACCACACTTATCATCTTTCCCCTTCTTCTTATTCTTATTTTTCTGCGGTTTAAAAAAAAGGAAAAAACTTTAAAACGTTTTGAGAATTGCACTGAATCTTCATACCTATGGACAGTTATTCCTATTTAGATTTTGCATATTGTAAGTGACATATTCAGCAGATACTCGTGTATTTGCAAATGGAGTTACTGAAAATCAGTATTTGAACCTCAACTCCATGGCTATCTTAAATGACTTATTACCACCTGGATAATTACTCAATCTATCTAATAACACAGCCATTGAAAATATCGCTGCCTCATGTATCTGTCTTCGATTGGAATACAGAAGTAGGGATCGATATTTAAATGTCAGTCACTCCAAAGTACGTGTTCTCCTGTAATCGATTCACTTACATCATCAACTTTGGGTTCTGTTACAGGTACCCACTTGTAGATCCTGAGAGATGTATCACCAACAGTAACCCATTTCTTCTCCCTGCATTTTAGAAAAAAAGATTGTTTTTAAACAAAAGGGGCTCCATGTTTGATCACTATCAAATGACTCATATTTGAAAGAGTGCATAGGCAGGATTGAGCACAGCTGTAACGCTCCAAGTTAAATAATCTACCCAACACTCACTTGTCAAAAATGGACTCTTAGGTAAGGTAGCCGAAATTAGCAAGCACCTAGCTTGAGTCAAGTGAAAAACTGCAAAAAGTCACGATTATTGGTTATAAACATGAAGCAGAAAATCAACATGCTCCAATAACATCTAAGCCACAAAATCAAATTGAAGTAGTTTATAACCACAAATAGAAATTCAAGATTAGATTACTTCCCTAACATAACTATCTGGTGTATACATTAATATATTCTGATTAAACTTTTTTTGTCAGTTTATGTGCTAGGAACATATAGATGGTGAGTGCTCAGTGACCCTGATCAGGATCAAACAAACTGAAACATCATGTTTCTCAATCTGGCATTGTATTGGGATATCAACATTTAATTCCAAATTACCAGGTTGTTATCTTGTATAAAGTCAGGAAACCTAACACTCATTACACTTCAATATAATTACTGTACAGGGCTTTGAGAGGTTCCAACATAAGATGTTATACAATCCAAGTTCTTTCTTTTTTCTTACCAGTTTCAGGAACCTTGCAATACATATTTCAGATCATCCTAACGTGAAAACATGCAAAACTCCAACAGGGTCTCTCGAATGACCAATTAACCTGGAAGATTCGTCAGTCTGGACATCGGCAAGAACTATTCTTTTTGAATAGCATCACAGTAATGTCCCTTTGAACAACCTCGGTTTTAACAACTCATCTGAGGGACAGCACTTGCAACAACCTCACACCTCCCCGAGAACCACACAGAAGCCTATGTTACGAGCTGAAGCCCCAACCGCTCACCGTCTGACTCGGAAGCAAGACTGCTTCAAGAGAAGCTTGGGGTGGCATCAGCTTCGGAGACTGCGATGGTAAACGGCAACGCAATTCAAAATCTGGGTAACAGGTCACACACGTCAAGACAGCGGGATATCAGCCACGGTGTGTGGGCAAAACACGTGGACTCTGGTTACGATGTTTACAGTAAGTGAAAATCAAAACAACGCCGGGTCACGTTGCTTCCTTCCACCCACTGTAAACTGCGAAGCAAATCTACCGAATGGAGACACCCACGATTTAAACGAAACGCACTTAAATCAAACACTTAACATGTTTTTTTTTTACTCGACGTACATCAACACTGGCAGAGTGAAGGGGGGGGGGGGAGAGGGTGGTGGGGGGGGAGAGGGTGGTGGTGGTGGGGGAGAGAGGGTGGTGGGGGGGGGGGAGAGGGTGGTGGGGGGGGGAGAGGGTGGTGGGGGGGGGAGAGGGTGGTGGGGGGGGGGGAGAGGGTGGTGGTGGGGGGGTTATTCATGCAAAACAAGGTCTTTTTGTGTGAAAAATAATCAAACTGAAGATATGTTACAGGTGCAATGGGAGAGGTGGGGGGGGGGGGGGAATGAGTTGAAGGAAGCCGGTGCAATCCTTAAAACGAAGGCAAACGTTTTCCAGGATGGCCCTGAGAGCGCCTGTCCTCTCTTAGCTCCCTCTACAAAAGCCAAATCAATCTCCCCACCACCACAGAGAAAAAAAACCCCACCACCACCACAAGGACCGAGCCTTCGGCCGCGGATCTGCACACAAAACACAAACAAAGCCGCCACAGGGCCGCATGTGACTCGCATCGAACTGGATTCTGGGTGTCCCCCTCCGCTGAGCTCTCTCTTGGGTCTTTTATACCATTTTTTTTCCCCTCAACCTCCTCCCCCACGTACGTACGTACGTACATACACACACACACACCCGCACTCTCACCCGCACACACACACACAAAATAAAAGTCCTTTAAACAGACGCGCGCGGCGCTTCCCCTTTAAACGGCGCCGAAACTTCGCGAAGACGAAGAGTGGCGGTTGGAAGCGCGAGCGGACGGCGCACAATGGCCGTGAGTGGGGAGGGAGGGAGGGGAGAGCAGCAGGAAGGCCGAGCGAGCGAATGAGCGCCCTTTCACCTCTTTATACCTCCTCCTCCTCCTCCATTTCCCCTCTTTCTCCCTCCCTCCTTCCTTCCCTCCTTCTTCTTCTTCTTCTCGCTTACCATTTCCGTACTTTTTCGATAGCTGCCATAACCCGCTTGATGTCATCCTTGGCCCGGCTCCTGGTCTCGGCTCGCACCGACCTGCCCGACATGTTGAACGGAGGGAAAGGAAAAAAAAAGAGAGCGAGAGAGAGAGAGAGAGGGGGAAGGAGGGAGGGAGGAAAAGGAAAGGAAGGTGGGTGGGTGGCTGACTGAGCGCTTCGTGTGTGAGAGAGAGAAAAAAAATTTTTTTAAAAAAAAAGTCCCCAACGCCTCAGACCGCCGGATGACGAGCGCACAGCAGTCTCTCTGTCTGTCTGTCTGTCTATCTCCCGCTCAACCGCCACCGCTTCCCCTCCCCCACACCGCGCGCCTCACAGTCCGTCCGTCCGCCAACTCCCCGCGCCTGCGCACTCGCTGCTTTGTCGGGGGGCGGGGCGAGGGGCGGGGCGAGGAGAAGGTCCCGGCCGCGTGAACAAAGGCATCACCTCTCGCGAGATGTCGTCTTTCTCCTCTCATTCCCTCCCCCCCCCCCCATTCCCTCCCCCCCCCTCCACACTCACTCACTGCAGAGGGATTATTATTACTGTGGGTAATAATCCCAAAATAATCCTCGCGCTTGATATTGAGGAGTCCCCGCAGCTCAGTGGTTAGAGCGCTCGCTTTGCGAGCGAGAGTTCCATCCCAGGCCGGTCAGGGGCCAAACCCCGGGCAGGTTTCCTTACTCCACCACACACACGGCCCTAATAATAACCCCCTCCCCCCAAAAAAAACCAAAACAATAATAAAAATTGGTCATTTTCAATCCCGCGGCTGCTGCGCGCAATCGGCTGCCGCGTTCGCCCACAAACACACAGTCAATTCACTCAACAGTGTGTTCTGTGAAGCGCTTTGGGATGTCCTCCCGACCTGAAAAGCGCCCTATCAAATGCAAGGATTATTATTATATTATCCCTCGGCGCTCGATCAAATGGTTGAGACGTCTCAAACGGGTTACTGATATTATTTTTTTTGAAGGAATTATTATCTCCTCCGCCCCCCCCCCAGAAAAGTCATCTAGGGCACTGTTGACCATGGGAGTGAACTTTATTATCGAGAGCGACCAGGAGAGGAGAGCGTTGTTAAATTTGGGAACTTGTGGGGAAAGCGCCAGCGTGGACTTGGTGGGCCAAACGCCCTCGTTCTGTGCAAAAGCATTCTATGAAATCACATCTTACCAGGGTTCGTCAATAGAACTGCAGGATCACTAAGTGGGAGCCGAATGCCTTCTGAGAGTCACTTGATTGTCTCTTAGGCGGGGAAAGCTCATTGCTTTCTCTCGCCCAACAAATATTAAATCTTGTCTTATCGCATCACATTTAGAACAAACTGTCCTACGTCAAGATAGGACGGTGAGTGCAGCAATAATTATCAACGTCTTTGTACAACTTACCAGTTTTGTCTTCTACCTTTAACTCTAAGCTGTCTGTTACCATTGTTGTCGGTACAAATGCCATTTTACAACCCCACACAGTCCTTTACTCCTTAGTGTTAGTAAGTTGCCACCTGAATGCTTCAATTCTCTCAGGTGATTGAAAAGTAACTGAAGGGTAGAATTACATCTAAAGAGAGGAGATAGGAAACAAGCCAACATATCAGTGACATGTTCCACAAAATGAGAATAGCATATGATGTACGACACTTACGTTGTTGAGGTTTGCAATCCACTAAGGAGTTCCCATCTCTCATTGTAGAAATTTGTAGCCCATTTTGGGGACTGCTCTTCGCTCAGATTTCACAATAACTTGCAAGCTGATTAGACCGTTCTTTGTAGGACTTTATTTTCGAGCCCATCTTATAGTGTCATTTTGAGCACACTTAATCAGTGTCTTCATTAACATTTAACAAATATTTCACTGAGGCAAACAGGGCAGCCAATCTGTAACAGTCACATCTCAAAAACAACAGTGAGCTGAGTAGCAAATTCATTTGCATTTTTTGTATTGTTAAATTTGGATTTGTGAGGATACTGGGCAGGATACATCAGATTTATATATAAATTTACATGGAAGTTGAACTTCAAAAATTAATAATAATCCTTGCATTTGATAAAACACCTCATCACGTCTTGGAGATTCTCAAAGCCCTTCACAGGGTACATTGCAAAGTGTTTTAGGACATCATCCTGATGTGAAAGGCACTATACAAATGTAATTTTTTGTTGTTTTGGAGCAAGAACGTGGGTTGTCATGGCTACATCCTGTAGGAAATAGAAAAATACTTCCTACAGTGCAAGGAAGATCAGACTTTTCATCTCCACCTAAAGAGGGAGCAACTGAACACGGTCATTGACCTTGAAATGGATATGTCAGAGCTCCAAATGATGACCAAGTTGCAATTCCTCCCAGTACTAAATGGAAACATTTCTCTTCTCACACCAGACTTTAAATTCATTAATAATTCAAGGCAAAGATTTATGAATTCACAAATAAAAAGCCATTATTGTATTAAACTATTATATTTGTTGAAGACTACTTTGGAGACAAAGGAAGTCCAAGTGTAGGTGAAATATTATTTACTCAATAAATGGAACTCTTAACAGTTACTGAAAGCTATTCTATGTTGTGTGTCTCTTTTGTACAGATCACTTACCGCCTGCTTTCAAAAACCTCCCAAACACTTCTTTCCTTGAATGTGTGTTTGTCACCTCTAAATTCCTCATACTTCTTGCTCCCAGTTCACCACTCCTGTATATAGGCAGTTGCGCACATGCAGGTTCTTGTAGCACAAACTATAGCAGGAACCATCCCTGATTTTCCTCTCCCAAGTCTGGGGAAGAGAGGGGAATTGTAGCATTTATGAATTATATTTTCTAATATAAATGCATCCTACCTCTATATTTTCACCTATCTTAGAACCAAGTAGAGCACCAGAAATGGATAGATACTTAAATAAAGCTGCTACAAATAGAATAATTTTGCATATTTTTATTTAAAAATAATTTAAGTTTGCTGGCTGCCACAAAATCAGCTCTGGCCTGCTTATGTGTAAAGAAAATGTATTTTGATGATTAGACTGAAAGTCACTTGGGCTGACAGTAACTGTTTAGAATGGTCTTTATTTTAATAAATACAAACAGAAGCTGCATGGGACCATTTATCCTTTACAGTGGTTATGGTGACGGTGATGTTGTTGATTCCAGTTCTGGCTCAGGTGGCGTCTGTGGAATGCATTTTTCTTCAGTTAGAAGGAGGGGGAAATCCAGGATTCCCTGCATAAATAATTCAGTCGTAATCTCACCTGGAAGTTGCTCTTCCAACATTGTTACTGTATCTGTATATCCCAAACAAGAGGCAACGGGGGAGAGGGGGTTAGAATCAAACAGAACACTCTGGAATGAAATATGCAACATTTCATACGGTTTGATCATATCACATTTTCACCCTTTTTCCTTTGATGTGTGGAGCAAATGTCTCCCCGGCCCAGAAAAAAAACATTTCAGTTATATTAGACAACTCCCTACATCAATCCTTAATACTAAGGCAAACGTTTTCCAGGGTGGCCTGAGAGCATCTTTCCTCGCATTCTCTCACCCAATTTTTCTGCTAACAATCACCCACCCATTCCTCACCGTATTTCTCAGTTTCTTTTGCAGTGGAATTCCCTGCTCCTTCCTTGTGTTCCTGTTTGTTTCCCCCCCCCCCCCCAATCAATAGACTCCAATCAAGCAATGAAACTGGGTCACACAATTAAATGAAGGCATCGGGGCCTTTATATCCCGATTTCTAACAACAAAGGACCTTTTTTTTTGTCTCTTCCTTACGTCAGGATATATAATAGCTCTGTTCGGTGACCAGGGTTAAAATATATCATCGCTATCTGAAATGGTTCCACCAGCACAACCTCAGCATACAGGTTTTTATCAAGTAACAAACCTTATAATCAATATCCCCTCCAAAAAAAAATCCTAACACAATTTGTTTAAATAGATTGAATTCATCCGACTTCTCCTCTGGGTTTGGGAGTTTCGTAAATAACATAAAACATGGGATTTACAGCACCTGTGGGAATAAAGGTGATCAGTTCAGATGTTCCTCCCTCTGAATTCAAGCCCAGGAGTGTGGCGAGATACTCGTTCACCTCTTCCTCCGTCATACATTCACCTGGAGGAGAGGACAAGAGAGGTCAGCTTTATAGAGAAAGCCGAGTTCTGGGGGTTCACGTTGTAATTGCTAAGAGAAAAACAAGGTCCCCTCAACATCATTCCCCTCCCCCTCCCCCCAATACCACAATCCCATTGTAAAGGTTCCATGGATTGGCACCTTCCACCTTTTGTAATTTAGCTCAATTAGCTAATAATTATTGTTGGTGAGGATTATGAATTTAAGGATTACAATAATTGTCAAACGTTGAATAATGAATAATTAAGATATTCCTACCAATTTCCATAGCTGGGCACAGTTGCAGCTTTGGTTCACTAATTGTATATAATATATAAATAATACATATAATTTTATGTAGGTTTGAGGCGTCTCGACAACGTGATAAGGCTATATCAAATCCAAGTATTATTATTATTGTCCCAAACAAGAAAAACATCTGTTTACTTTACACTCAACAAGTAAACGTGCATCTCCTCTCCAAATGGGTGTGTGGCTCATACTCTCTGCTTCCAGTGTCACTGATGCAGAGAAACCTGATCCCCGGCAGCCTACACACTGGTCTGTGAGCACAGCGCCGTCTAATGGATCACCGCAGCAACTCGCACAGCGTGCACGCACTCTTCACCTTACCTCCCCAATCCTGCGAGAGAAATCCTTCCCTTTAATGGAAATACTGGATGCGGAACATTACTGTCCTAAAACAGACTATTTTACACCAGATAACATCTGCCAATCAGAGCTTTGAGATATTCAGCCCATGTGTTACTGATAATTTGTTTGTATCTATCCATACTTTACCTTACAATTCAGCTACAACATCTCACATGGGCTGAATATCTCGAAGCTCTGATCTTATGACACTTGTCTGCTCTATAATGTGTCTTGCGAGTGGCAATTTTATTAATTATTACACAGAATGTTTTCTGTGGTGAAACACGCACACTTCGATCTCCATGTTGGGTAACCGGTCTGTTCTGCTGAATTAAGCTCAGTCTAATTGCGTCCCAGGCACGTTCGTTTCTGTATTTTCTCACGTCCTTCAACTTCATCTCTGGGTTTAAAGTAAAACGTTGTCAGTGCTGTTGTCTTTGACTCACCTCTTGTTTGCAATAGCTGCAGTAAGTGACCCTGTTCAATTGCACTCTCTCCATTTTCGTTTTTATACCCGAGAATGTCGAAGCATTTCTGGAGTTCAGCGACGGAGTAGCCAAATATTGGCCGGTGATTAACCAGGAGTTTAACAAATTCACCGATGTCAATTTGGGTGACAAACTGGCCAGTTTCCACATATTTACTGAATTTCATTTCATTTAGCATATCTTCAATCTAGAGTCAAAAACAATTAGTTACCCAATAATGCAATAAACAGATTGCAAACCAACTCCAAATGTATCCTATAGGGATATCCTATATATATATATAGATACATCATATATTATATTGTAAATGACATGCATATTATAATATAGAAACATAATACATACATAGCACACACATATATATAATTCTCATCATGCACAGTGATAAGTCTGCATTTTTACAAACTAAGTGTGAGTACAATCTGTAGTGGATCTGTGCAATGTTTGCATGTCACAGACTGCTATCAGCTCTCAGGATGTTGATTTAGGGCCAATTAGTGCAAATATTAAGCTTTTTTTTGTAACCACAGACTCAAACACATTGTTTATCAGAGCTTCTTTGAGTCTCGGTTGCCGAGATATGATGTGCAAGCCGTTTATGATAAATGTGCTTGTGGCAATTGGCTTTCTGCGTTAATTAGAACTGTTATTCTGATTACAAATCAGGTACCTCCTTCTGCGTAGGGTAGAAGCCAACTGCATTCATTACAAAGGGAATTTCCTCCAGTGCTATATGAGTAGACACCTGTCTGGTCTCAATTGTGTTGATACTCTGGTGACGCAGCTGGGAATAGTAAAAATAATCTTCCAATTCCTTTGTGGGCACAGCAAGAGGATGGAATAAAAGAACAAAGGTTACTCAATCAAGCAAAAGATAATCTGAGAGCAACAGAGAAAAATTTACATTGAGAAAGGCAGAGTTTCTAAAACACTCTCAGATCCAACCTGCAATAAGAAAGAGCTTGTATTTTTAGATCATCGTCTAACATCCAAAACAGCCCACTTTATGAAGAAATTACTTGAATGAAGAAATTACTTAAATGAAAAAAAACAGTGTAGTGACTGTTTTCATCAACAAAAACAGCTGCCATTTTGCCCCGAAACAGCAAAGGATTAATTAATTAACCTGGAGGATTTTAATTTTAGAAAGTAATCCTTTTCATTATTAATGATGTAGTTAAGAGCACCTGGAATTTCTCCTGGGACATTTTGTCTTATACAACTCAGAAATGACACCTCTGCACAATAAATAGATGGATGAATTCCCCATCTCCTCTGTGGCAGGATGTTGCCAAACAGGTTGGGAGCACAGGATTTAATTGCAGTATTTAATATAACAAATTGAGTTGAAGCTCAAGACATAGAACATTGGAAACGACAAAAAGATGTGTATAGCAAATAGATAATTATGTTATTGGTCAAAAAAGTAAATCAGAACACGGGCATCACCTTGAAAAGTGGTCCTTCTCTTCCCCCTCTCAGCAAACCATAGAACGGGATCAACGCCTCGCCTCCCAGGGCAGTGAGTGCTTCGTGGGCCCTTTAGAGGAACAGAGCACAGACCACATGGTGACTTTAAAAGCTACTGTATTTAAGAGGGGGTCTTGTTACCTGTGATGTATTAATTAATACGCAAATACGTCACTGACAAGCATTCAGCTACCAAGACTACCAATTTTTGGGGTGGGATTATTACCCCCGGAAAGCGATTCGCCAATCAATTAACAACCGTGTTCCTACTAACTGGTAAACAGAGGCGTGTGGAGTAAGGAAACTTACCTAAGCTTTTGTCCTGCCTGGGAATCAAACCCAGGTCCTCTTGTTTGCGAGGCGAGCGTGCTAACCACTATGCTACGGCCATTACAAGCTGGCAAGGTGACATTGGACTATTTTAGCTGCAGCCCCAGAGTTTAAAAGGGGAATAAGAGCAAACGGCTGCTGTAAAGCCAGGCTACTAGCAGGTTTCCTTACAATTACCAACTGCACTGTGTGTAATGTCAGTGACGATTAAATTAGAACAGTTTAACGCTGTAAAGGCTATGCACTGCTTTTTTGCTGCCTGGGGTAGGGGGGAAGCATATTCCGTTTGAAAACACCTGCAAGAGCAAAGTGCAGCCTGGCCAATGCAACAAACTGAGGGTGACAAATACAAGCTGAGGAGTGTGACACATCACACTGATCTATCTGCACATTTGCTGAATGTAACAGTGAGAACAGCTACACTTAACAAAGTGTGCTTCTGCACACAATCGCTGGCTTCCATTAGGATGTAAATGAATAACCTGCGAATCAAGTCTGCAACTCCACAAACCTTTAACCGTTAACCAAAAATCACCTTTTGCTGTGAATTGATCTTGGAGGGAGATTTTTTGATGTGGCATAAGTATGGAAATATTGAGGTGGTTTTCTGGTTGGGATGACCAAGACAGTGGAATGTAGAAACAAAGATATGTTTCTTTTAGGAAATAATATCGTAGGATATTGTGTATAGTTGGGACATGCCAAGTGCATGCCACTGCCAGGATGGTGGAAGGTAAACTGGATGGACCTTGGTTTTCTTTGGTCTAGCAATTCTTATGTTCTTATGAGGTAATAATAACACTTGCACTTGATTTAGTGTCTAAATATCTCAATCTTGTTGTCAGGCTCGGACCCGCAGTAATGGTGTGTCAGCTCCATGAAATGCAGGCGTTTCCTTACTGAAAATACAATTTACTCTGCTAGCCGACTTCCCTGCCAGCCTGATGGTTTCATCGAGGGCGCCTTTCCTACCCCAATCAACAGCGCTCCGAGGGCCTGGGTTTCCAACCCAACACTCATCCCGCTTGTAGCCAGCGCTGCACTTACTGCAGGTTGATTTCCCACATGTGAACGGTGCAATCATCTCCTCCAGCGGTGAAAACGTAGTGTCCGTCGTAGGAGCAGGCAATGTTGGAGACGTTTTTGCCGTGGCAGATAACCGCGCAGGACTTGTGGGGGTTTCCGTCCAGCGGCAGAGTTTGCAGACCCACCTACATAGCAGGAGGTGAGACAGCATGTTTAGTGCTGACTATGAAGTCCATTTATACAACAAACAAACACACATCATCATCACCACCACAACTTGCAATGATACAGCGCCCTTAACGCGGGGAAGTGAATGCACTAAATTATTAAGGAAACTTCTTTTTAATAAACACAATAGGAAACAAACAGAAATCCCATTATTCCACCTTATTCTCCCTTGTAACAAAAAATAGCAAAAGTTGAAGTCACAAACATCTGCAGATTACTGCATCATTTTATATATATATAATGACTGTGTACCTTGTCATCTATGATGTATGCTAAATAACCAACTGTAGGTTCAATGTCTGAGTTTGGCAAAATCACCATCTTCTTAATAGGAGACCCAAAATTTGGGCCCAACACAGTTTTCCTGGCAATATAAAAAAAATTACATTACTGGAGCTGAAAATCAGGATGCAGTGCTTGAATCCAAAACCTCCTGACCAAAAGGCAAGAATGCTACCAACTGAGCCGAGCCAGGACCTGCAAATAGATTAAAAGGCAAAATACTGCAGATACTGGAAATCTGAAATAAAAACAGAAATCGCTCGGAACACCTACAACAACAACTTACATTTAAATAGCGCCCCCCCACGCAGGGTAGCGTCTCAGAGCACTTAAATGATCTTTTGTGAGAACTGATGGAAGGTATCTATCTGAAACATTAACTCACCATCCTCTCTCCATAGATGCTGCCTGGCCTGCCCAGCAATTTCTGTTTTTATTCCTGTGAATCGATTGATCTCTTTTACGATCAAAGACACGGAATTGACAAACCGACCGAAAGAGGTTCCACGAACCTGCACATCTTTGTGGTGGCGTTGTAAAGCTTCAGTTTATACTGGTCATTGGCCACTACGATGAAGCTTTCTGTAGTGATGGGCGGATACCAAGCCATGCACATTGGTACCGCACTCTGCTCAATCCTTTCACTGTTCAATATCCGTAGGTCATACTTGGTGCTATTGGCCAGGTCATACTCTACCTGAGGGACACAAACAAAACAAAAAAGAAAACAGATGTGAGTTTTTCCCAGTGTCCTGGCCAATATATCCCCAAAATAAAATTGGTCACTCATTTCATGGCTGTTTGTGGGATAATGGTGTGTGCAACTAGCTGCCGTGTTTCACCCACAATCCACTTTACGGTATATCCTAGCAGCTCAGAGTCCTGTAGCTCAGTGGTTAGAGCACTAGCCTTGCAAGCGAGAGACCTGGGTTCGATTCCCGGCAGGGTGAAACCTTGGGCAAGTTTCCTTACTCTACACGCCTTATAATAATCCCTCAAGAAAAAAACAATAACAATTTGGTCACTCAATCTACGATTGTTTGTGGGACGCTGCTGTGCGTAATTGGCTGCCGAGTTTCGCCCACAAAATACACAGCCAATCCACTTTACAGTGTATTCTGTGAAGCGCTTTGAGATGTCAAGAAGACGTGAAAAGCACTATATCAAATGCAAGGATTATTATTATTATTATTAATATTATCCTGTGAAGGGCTTTGAGACAATTCTGCCCACATCGTTCTGAGCTACAGAAAAGGAATGGATTAGTGACATACAGAACCTGGTCAGAATAACCTATACTTACCAGAACCCGGTCTTCCCCAAGAGACAACAGCCTGGGTTCTTTGGTGTCCAGGTGAATCCCAAACGTGAGGGTTTGGATGGGTTTGAAGTGTGAAGTGTGCTTGCCCAAATACTTCCAGACTTTATCAGCCGAGGTTCGGCGTAGGACAAACACAGTCACGGTGGTTTTACTATCCTGAACAGAGCAGGGAAATGAACATTAACAATAGGACAAACCACAATCTTGTCTTGGTGCAAAGCAAGTTGCTTTCTGTTGGTCTGGGCTGTCATTAAAATACTGGAATATCTCACCACAGTTGCCAGATACTGAGAATCATGAGAGAAGGTGATCTGCGTGATGGCATCTTTGGCATATTGGAAAGGCTCTTTGCACTCATCAGTCAAAGAGAAGGCGTTTAGGATGTGAACGCTTCCGTCAGTCACACCAATACCCAGCAGCGTACCTACAAACGGACAATGTCAAACTCTGTGAAGCACTCTGAGGCATTTTGGTATGGTAAGCACATTCAAGGATGATTATTATTATTATAATTAATGCTTGACTACTGATTGCCATCAAAACCCTGGAAAGTTTCCACCATGAAAAGCACGATGGTTTATCACACAAAATAGGCTTTTTGGTGAATAAACATAATTGGTTAAATGAAATGAAATGGCTACCTGTGTTGTCAAAGGCCACACAGTTGATGTAGTTCCCCATTCCAAAGATCCTGCTGGAGATGTATTTCTTCTCTTCGTAGTTCCAGAGCTTGAGGAGGCCGCTGTAGCTCCCCATACAGAGGATGGGGTACGTGGGGTGACAGCAGATGGCATGCAGGGGGAAATTATGCTCCTGCAGTAATATTTCAAGCTTGCAGCCATCTCCAGTCACATGGACTACCGTAGCATCAGTGGTGGCCACAATAAAGTTTCTACGTGGCACAAATACACATAGAGAATGTCAATTAAAAGTGCAGTTTGGGGTGAAAATTGCAAGGTGTGATGTAAGACAGCAATAGTACTTTAAAGTCAGACTCCACCACCGTTAAGCAGTCTGAGACGCTACCCTGTGTGGAGGGCGCTATATAAGTGCAAGTTGTTGCTGTAAAGACTTTTGCTGGTTTCGCAATGACCAACAAAATAAATTACAAACATGAAACAATTAAACTTTACATTAATAAGCTTTCTTGCTTGGACTACCCTACCCGTTAGGGCTTTGGCTTGCAGGATTCCCTGCCCTCAGTGCCTGGTCTGCCCTTCCAAGTCCTGCCGATGAGCCAGGCTGGACTGTGCTTGTATAATGCAGGCATGGATGGCTCAGGAACAGGACTACCGAGACCACCACAGAGGGCTGGTCTGATTCCGCGCTTTCCATTGCCAGACATATCACCTTGGAGCCAGTTTCAGTTCTGAGGTGACCATACTTACCTCCCCCCCACCCCAAGGAGAATAAAAGGGTTCTAATTTGTAATACTCTGCTTCATTTGCTTAAGATTACTGACCTGACCACAAACTGCTGAGCTTTGATGGTGGATTCCGATGGATAAGAAGTCTTCTCACTGGCTGGAGCTGCTGGCCTCTTAGAGAAGGAAATGGAATTGATGGGTCCCAGGTTGAAGTTACTGTACCAATTCATTATGTTAAGGTCCTCACTGTAAAACTTAATGACACCTTTAACATCGCCGGTCACGACATACCTGAAAACGCAATGACACATGAAGATGAAGACGGTGTTAGACAACTGATATTTCTAATTCTGTTTCAAGCTCGTTCATTTACACGGGTGCTAGACTGCTCTACCCAATACACTAGTCCGGTGGTGTTGTGGTTAGGGCACTCGCCTCGCAAACGAGAGGACCCCAGTTCGATTCCCAGGCAGGGCGAAACCTTAGCCAAGTTTCCTTACTTCACACACTTCTGTTTACCTAGCAGGAAGTAGGAATTTGGGTGTCAGGCAAAAAAACATTGTTCACTCAAACCATAACTGTTTGTGGGACAATCTGTGAGCAATTGGCTGCCGCATTTCGCCTACAACATACACAGTCAATCCACTTCACATTATATTCTGTGAAGTGCTTTGAAACGTTTTAATGATGTGATAGGGTACTATATAAAATGCAAGGATTATTATTAATATTATTACTGGCAATAACTTTTCTCTCCCTTACCTATCCGAAAAAGTGACCACTGTGATACCATCATTTTGCAGGTGCACTAGTTTGAGAGCTTTCTTCTTGTACGATTTAATCTCAGCGTTGAGTGAGATTTCGGGCGGGCTCTTTGTGTCCCAGATCACCAGGTTGCCTGCGGATGTGGCAGTCAGTGCTTGTGAAGGATTATGATGGAAAACCGATTGACTGAAGAGTCCCACTGTCTTGTTAAATGTCTGCAGAAACAAAAGCTTGACGGTCAAATTCAATCATTAAAAACAAGTTATTATTAATAATAACAATCCTTGCATTTGATATAGCGCCTTATCACATCTTCGAGACATCTCAAAACGCTTCACAGAATATACTGTAAAGTGAATTGACTATATTTTGTAGGCGAAACGGGAGCCAATTGCACACAGCAGTGTCCCACAAACAGTCATGGATTGAGTGACCAATGTATTATTATATTTTTAAGGAATTATTACCCCCGGAAAAGTGATCCACCAATGGATTAACAACCAGGTTCCTACTTACTGCTAGATAAACAGAGGCATGTGGAATAAGGAGGCATGTGGAGATTGCCCCCAACCTTCACAGGCTGCTTTGCAGAGGGAGAGATATGGACAACTTCCAGCAAAGTCCAGCAAAGCTACTTTTAATCCCTGCTAAGATAGTCATTAAATCAAACAAACCTTATTAAAGGATTATGGGTAGGTTACATTCTAAGCGTATAGAACGATTAATTAAAAGCCTTAAAAAACATTAAACACCACAAATATAATCTTATAGTTTGTTAGGTCATGGCATTAAGGGATACAGGGCAAGGACAGGTAACTGGACTTTAGATACAGATCCGCCATGATCTTATAAAATGGCGGAACAGACTGAACAGGTGCTGAATGGCCTCCTCCTGTTTCTATGAGGAAGAAAGGAATAGAAGGGAGGGAGCAACGAGTGGATGAAAAGTAGAGCACATGGAGTACAAACACCAGGATGGACAAGCTCGGCCAAATGGCCTGTTTCTGTACTGGAAATCAATGTAAAGTTTATTTAATATTTAGCAAGTTATATTGTGGGTGAAACACAGCAACTAATTGCGCATAGCAGTGTCCCACACACAGTCATGGTTTGAGTGACCAAATCCCCCCATCTCCCAACTAACTTTATAATTTTCGTGTAGGAATTTGTACGTTTGCACATTATCCTTTGCTTCACTGTACTGTATTATACTCCGAGTGATAAAATATCACCGAATACTCACTTGGTCTGTGAGAACTGGGGCAGAAAAATCCAACTGGTTCCCTTTCTAGAGGCAATGAATACAGACAGGTGTCAAAACATTATCACAGCAGAATTTCAGCAGCATTAATACACGATTCATTCAATTTTACAATTGTTAAGGGTTCAAAAGTGCAATCTTGAGCCGCAAGGCAAGACCTGAACAGGTTTGGGTAATTACAGCTCGCTTGCAATTATTTTCTCTTGTAACATTGTTCATCGAGTAAAGTTAAATGAACCCGACGTAAAGAGAACCCAAGGTCAATGATAAGGAGTTTTACTTCACTGACACTCAATGCCACTCACCCAGGTGTAGAACACGATCTCATGCTTACTGTTGCTCAACAACTCAGTCTCATCTTTGGGATTGAACAGGAAAAAATGCTGGAAGAAAATACAGTGAAAACGGTCAAACATATACAATAACTGCTTGCTTAGTTTTGAACCCTTGATAGGGGTAGAGAGTCAACACCCACCCCCAACTCCCCCTTTGCCTCTCCCTCTCTCTCCCCCCACCCCAAGTAAGTAGCTATCTAACACATTGCTCATTCTGTACTTTCAGATAAAACAAGGTTTCGGAAAGGCAAGTTTGTAAAATATATCTAAAATGTACCTGAGGAGAGAAAGCGGGGCTGAGGTCCACACAACACAGTGGTCCTTTGGTTTCTGAGGTCCAATCCCAGATACAGACTCGCTGAAAAGAGAGATCACAGCATTGACACAATACAATATAGATTTACATTTATACAGCATCTTTCTTGTCGAGAGGACATTCAAATGCGCTTAGCAATCCTGGCTTGGCAGCCGACTGGGGGTGGGAGCCGACATGGGGTGGGGGTGGGGGTATAGATGACCGAAAGCACAGTCATAGAACTAGTTGTTGAGTCGAATCTTGAATGAGGGTAGGGAGGGTGCAAGCATATAAACAGAATATACACTGCATAAGGATTCAATACTCAAAGAGTCATCAAACAAGATCAAGTTCTTGTTAATGCAATTATTCCTATAACAACAACGACAACAACAACAGACAGAAATTAGGTCGTTGAGAAGCATAGTTCTCCGTTGAGAAGCGTAGTTCTCCGCAGTGCACCTGATTTTTTCCTGCGCTGATCGTTCCCAGGTATTTAGCGTTGTGGCTGATAGCCATGGCTCCAACCCCATCCTTCGGGTGACAGTTAAAGAGTGTCTGTACGGGTATTCTGTAGGTCAAGGCAACACACAACCAGTGGTTACACAAACAGTCAGCTCAACGTTTCAATATAAGAAAGCGACTACTGCCTGTACTCCAACGGGGAATAGATAGCGTAATGGTTAGAGCAATTGGCTCACAAGTGAGAGGACCTGGGTTCAGTTCTCAGGCTGGGCGAAACTATAGGCAAATTTCCTCACTCAACACAACTCTGTTTAATCTAGTAGTAAGTAGGAACCCGGTTGTTAGTCGATTGGTGGATCGCATTCCGGGGGTAATAATTCCGCCCCAAAAAAGAAAAATTGTCACTCAATCCACGACTATTTGTGGGACACTGCTGTGGGCAATTGGCTGCCATGTTTCGCTCACAAAATATACAGTCAATCCATGTTACAATATATTCTGTAAAGCGCTTTGAGAAGTCTCAGTGCTGTATCAAATACAAGGATGGTTATTATTATTATTCACTCAAGCTTACCCTGAGAAAATGTCCCAGACTATCACCAAGCTCTCTGGGCCCATGTCTGCTGTTGCCAACCATCTCTTATTCCCACTCAAAGCAATACATGATATGGGACTGCAGTGACCCTGGAAGCGAATAATAACATTTTGCTATAGGTAATCATTTTTTTTTAAATTACAAAGAATCTACATTGAGGCATTTGAGATTTTAGCAAGGGGGTGGAATGGTGATGATAAGCCACACAGTGTTCTCAGCCTTAGAGACAATGGCACTTTTTTTTTGGTCAGCTGTGTGTCTGACACGTGCGGAAACCCATTACCATGTTTGAGAGTCTCCAAACCAAGCTGAAAATTCCATCCATCGCACTGATGCGTGGAAAATCCAGATAGATTGTTGGATTGGAATTCACACTCTCTCTCTCTCCCTGGAGGGACACATCCTGCTTACCTAATTCCGGAAAGTATTAGGTGCAGGTTAGCAAGAGTCAAGAGTTGGAAATTCATCCCATACCTCCAGATGGAAATTCCAGAGATGGATTGTTGGAATGGAATGGAATGCGCGCTATGAGACAATAGCAATAAACACAAGTAAGTTCCTCACCTGCAAGAGATACTGGCGACCAAGGAAAAAGTTAGCCAGCACCGCGGTGTGTGACGAGACGTAGAGAATGACTCTGCGTACGTCGAGATGCAGAGCATACACCGGGATGTCTCGGTTTATCCCAAACGCCCAGGCTAAATTCTGTGGAATGGAAGAATTAAATAGTATTCTGCTTCCTATCTGCTGATTGTATATCATGCCTCTGTCCACTCAACATCATAACAGCTTGTTCTGGTCAGAATTATTACAAAAACCACAAGTGGGGAAGGATGGGGGAGGCTCAATTTGTGGTATTTCCCAGTTAAGAAATTCAAAAATGCATGATTTCGGGAACCCTCCCAACTCCTGGATCTCTTCCAGGACTTTCCCTCACCAGAAGGAGCGCCTAGCAGTAAGTAGACTGCTGAACGCAATTGGCTGCTGCGTTTCGCCCACAGGACACACAGTCACTCCACTTTACAATATATTCTGCAAACCACTTTGAGACGTCTCAACAACGTGATAAGGTGCTATATAATAATAATAATAATAATCGTTGATTTGATATAGCACCTTATCACGGCATTGAGAAGTCTCAAAGCGCTGTTTCCAATGCAAGGATTATTATTATGATATACATTTTAAAACAAGCCTTACCAAAGAGTTTGGTTTCATGTAGTTCTTGTATTTATCCTCAAATATGGTGTCACAGATAGCAGTGGACACCTTGGAGGTATGCTCTTCCGGAGGCTGTTCCACCACACTGGCCGGCTCCTCTCTCTTGCCCTCTATCGCTTCCTTGACCACCTCCTCCTCCTCCTCGCTCTCGCTGCGAGCAGTGACCTGGGCGTCCCCAGCCACCGCCAGCTCTTGGCTCGTGATGGAAAACTCCTTCTCAGAGATCTGGGGGGTGGGGAAGCTTCCCAAGAAGAGGGTTTCAGGTACCTGGACAGCCTCCGCGCTGGTGTCCACCACGTTGACGTACTCCATGGAGCCGGGCACCGGCAGCTCTCTAACGATGACCACAGCCAGTTCCAGAGGGCATGGCGTGATGACCAGTCTGGCCTCCACACTTTTGCCCTCATTGGAATGCATCTTGTCTCTACTTTGCTTGTCCTGATTGAATTGCACCTTAGTGTACTGTTTCTTTTTCTTCTCTTTCTTCGGCGACTTCTGCTCCCGTCCCTTGTTTGAGGAAGTCGGGGATACCGTCCCCTCAGACTCCCCAGATAAGGACTCATCCTGGCTCCTGTAACTCTTGTCATCTTGGCTCCTGGCCTCTTTGGAATCAGAGTAAATTTCCAGACGGACCTTCGGCTTTCCCTGAACTTCAAAGTGCTGCACCTCATCCTCGGTATTGAACTGCACCTTGACTCGCTTCTTTTTCGTTTCCCTGCTTCTCCCTCTGCCTATGTCGATGGTTTCGTCTCTGTTGTCTTCGCTCGAGCGCCGGTCGCTGTCGGACAGATTTGCCTTCAGGAAGTCAGACCCCGGCGGGGACAGGGTCCTCTCTGTCCCATCAGTGGATTCCCGACCTCCTGACTCCCCATCTAGTGGGGGGAAATATAACGTACAGATTTCAGAGACTTGACAAGGCTTCAAAGGCAACTTGCATTTATAATAAACTCTTGGTAACGATTCTCAGGGCACTGCTGATGACAGCCCAGTCCATCAACAGGATTTGGAAGGGCAGACCAGTCACTGTGGGCAGGGAATCACCCTCCCACTCAGTTCCTGTTAACGCTGCGACCCAAAGCCTTAGGGTAGGATGGTCCTAGCTCAACAAGCTTGCCAGACGGTGCTATAAATGGCTTATAGCGAGGTTTTAGCGGGTTAGACTCCAGCTGTTACCCCAACACACACTCTGGGCTCCTCAAGCCTTGGTTCGTGCCAATCTGCACTTAATACTTTCCAGAATTAGATAAGCAGGATGTGTCCCTCCAGGGAGAGAGTGCGCATTCTATCCCAACAATCTATCTCTGGGATTTCCATGTGTAGATGGGATGCATGGAATTCTCAGTTTGGTTTGGATACTCTTAAGCACAGTGATGGGTTTCCACGTGTGGCAGACACCCAGATGACCAAAAAGAGGCAGTGAGAAAGAGAGCAATATTGGAGGAGATTGCAAGGTGAAGTAGGCTGTGAAATTGATCTGCTAAGGCACAGTGAGTCAACAGAGCCTTGTGAGAATGGGTCTGATAGCTGTGTGGGGCCTGGTGAGTGTTGAAATATATTGACTATCACCTCGAGATACATTGGTATATTTCAAACAGCAACCAAATGTTCCAGAATGTTTGATAGTTAAATGATTCAAAGTAGCTTTGCTGGATGGGCTGAGGTTAGCTTCTGATTACATTTTATATTTTCCTGGGAAGATGTTCACTCCTCTGAGATAATGAACAATTGGGTCCTTGAACATAGATGTAAAAACATTGGACCACAGAAAGAAAAGGCTGGAGCCTCAGACATCTGCTTATCTCGGCTGAGAAACAAGCAGGCTGTGGAAGGCTGTCCAGAAGTTGTCCATATTTCTCTCTGTGCAAAGCAGCCTGCGAAGGGCGGGGGCAATCTCTGTGACAAGGGGAAATGGAGTTAGAAACACATAAAAGAAAGATGTAACTTTGGAATAGTTGGAGTTGTGTAGAGGGTCAGCACACTTCCCAGTGGAATCGATATCGGCTCTACTTTATCTATGCATATGTACAGGGGGAGAAAATTTACCTACAACAACAAAATTACATTTATATCGCCCCTTTCACGTCAGGACGATGTCCCAAGGCGCTGGACAGACCGATCTGAGGGTCGGGGTGGGGGAGAGGAGAGGGCTGGTGGAGAAGCAGGGAGATCGAAAGCACGGTTGAAGAGGAGGGTCTTGAGGTGGGTCTTGAAGGTGGCGAGGGAGGGGGCGAGATGGAAGGAGTGTGGGATGGACACCCGCAAGATGGACAGAAGGACTGCGGATTGGAGACCTCCAGTAAGAAAGTGATCATTAAAAGTGAAAGAGGAGGAATAGTGGGTAATATGCTTTCGGTTCTGTTTGCTAGGCAGAGAAGTAATGACAGTAGTAGTGGTTGGTCCGTTTGAAACGCAGAAGTCAGGTTAGGCAGCACGAGTGAGGTACTGGGCTAAAAGCTGATCGTTTCTGTTGAGTTTACAGCAGCCACTCTCTGTGATAGTTCTGTGATGAAGTATTGTTTTTATAGGATTGGTTGTGTCCGAGCGTTTACCGGGCAACAGTTCCTATTCAGTTTTGTATTACAGAATCAGTTGTGCCTGAGGGATTTCCGGGGCTGATCTCTGCTGTGTATGTTGAGATGTGTTCTCGGGCTTATTGTTTTGTCTGGAGTACTGAGCAATTCCTGAGTGCACGCTGTTGTTCCTCAATTATTTGATTTGTATATCTGTGTCGTTGTATGGTGCGGACTATTGTGTTGCTGCTGGCAGCATCAGCATCCACGGCTGCACATTCAACCTCACTAAGCCAGTCGGGAACCTAGGTGTCTTGCTTGTCCCTGAACTGTGCTTTCTCCCCCACATCCACTCCGTGACCAGCAGTGCCTACCACCACCTCTGCAACATTGCCAGACCCCGCCACTGGCTCACCCCTCAAAACCCTTACCCATGTATTCATCACCTCAAGGCTTGATTATGGAAATTCCCTCCTCATCGGCCTTCCCAACTCTTCCCTTCACAAACTGCAGATCATCCAAAACTCTGCAGCTTGTGTATTCTCGCACACCAGGCTCCGTGACCCCATCACTTCTACCCTCATCCTCACTTTCAATGCCATCCATGGTCTTCCCTCTCCTACCTTTCTGACAACAACAACAACTTGGATTTATATAGCGCCCTCCATGTCAGACGGTGTCTCAGAGCGCTTCACAGTAACAGATCCCGGGGCCGAGCCGGGGGAGGGAGAGGAAGGTGACCAAAAGCACGGTCGAAAAGAAAGGTCTTCAGCAGAGACCTGAAAATAGGAAGGGAGTGAGGAAGGGAGTTCCAGAGCCTCAGGGCATAGTGGTTGAAGGCACGGCTGCCAAGGGTGGAGCGGAAGACTCGGGGGACGAGGAGGAGGCCAGACCTGGAGGAACTGATCTGCTGACTCCTTACCAACCTGCCCACTCCCTCCGTTCAGCGGGCTCCGGCCTGCTCCATGTCTCCAGCCCGACCCACTCTACCAACGGTGGCCGAGCTTCGATCTTTGCCAACAAATGCTCAAACACATTCGAACGTGCCTTCGGTCGCCCTCCCACCTCTCTGCCTTCCCTCACCCACACCCATCCCTCCCCCATGCTCAGGTCCTCACCCCTGACTGTACAGTGCCTTGGACCGTCCTCCCGACGTAAAAGGTGCTCTAAAAATGTAATTTTGTTGTTGTTGTTATATGATCATATGGTTTGAATACAGATTGTTGAACTTTACCGTTTATCTTAGATATATTTGATATTAGTGGAATAAACACTATACTCTTACCACGGCCTGTCGAATTATTAATACTAGGGTAGGAATGAAGGCTATGGAGTTTTGAATGTATTTGAGCACATGTTGGCAACGAGAGAGGTAGAGAATGGAAACAAACCTTCACTTTTCTTCGATGAATCTTCCGTGTCTCCATCTCTTGCTTTATCAGCCATGCTTTAATAACTGAACAAAACAAAATTATTTTACTAAATTAGTTTCAATGAATATCCCCTTTTTTAATATATAAAAAAAAATGACTGAAGCTCCACCAGTGACCTATTGAGTAGTGTCCGTCTGACAAGCTTTCCCGCTGCTTGTCCAGCCTGGACCACCCTACCCGTTAGGGCTTTGGCTTGCGGGGTTCACAGGAGCTGAGTGGGAGGATTCCCTGCCCCCAGTGACTGGTCAGCCCTTCCATGCCCTGTCGGTGAGCCCGGCGATGCTGGACTCCCAGCCCCCAACCCAACCCAACCCTGGGCCTCAGCCCCCAACCTCAATCCCAAACACTGACCCCAATCCCACCCCCCCATCTGCAACCCCAACCTCAGACCCCACCCCCCCACATCCGCAACCCCAACCCCAATCCCACCCCCACATCCGCAACCCCAATCCCAAACACTGACCCCAATCCCACCCCCACATCCGCAACCCCAATCCCAAACACTGACCCCAATCCCACCCCCCCATTTGCAACCCCAACCTCAGACCCCACCCCCCACATCCGCAATCCCAACCCCAAACACTGACCCCAATCCCACCCCCCCATCCGCAACCCCAACCCCAACCTCAGACCCCACCCCCCAATCTGCAACCCCAACCCCAGACCTCCCCCCCCACCCCCAACCCTCAGCTCCCCAACCCCCATTCCTCAGCCCCAATCCCAGGCCCCCCCACTACCCCCAACCCTCAGTCCTCAACCAACCCTCGACCAAACCCCCCCCTTCCCCCAACCTTGAGCTCCAGCCCCAATCCCAGGCCCCACACCCCCCCCCCCCCCCCCCAACCCTCACTGACCGCCGCCGCTCTGGGTCCGGGCTGCGTTGCTAAGAGACGGCGTCACGCCGAAGCGCGTTGCCAAGGAGACGTGGGCGGGTCCCATCTGCCGCCGCCGCTGATTGGCTGGCTCGCACCCTCTCCCCGGCGCATGCGCAGACCTCCTCAAGTGGCTGTCCATGACCAGCACAGTGGGGGGGGGGGGGGAGAGTTGGTGGGGAGGGGTTGGGGGGAGAGGTGGGGGTTTGGGGGGAGAATCTGCAGTGTCTGACCTTTGTTTGGGGGGGAAAAAAAAATGGCGTTTCACCATTCTGCAGAAAGTGAGTGCGTTTCACGCACGACTGTCGCCTTTGTGAACTCTTGTGTAATTCATCTTTTTTTTCCCCCCCAGTAAACCAGCCGGCGACTTGGGTAATAACAATAGTAATAATAATAATAATAATAATCGTTGCATTTGATATGGGGATCTTCGCGTCTCCTCGACGTCTCAAAGCGCTTCGCAGGATACGCCGTAAAGTGAATTGACCGTCTAGTTGTGGGCGACGCGCGGCAGCCAATTGCGCACAGCGGCGTCCCCCCCCTACACACACAGCAGTGGATTGAGAATGACCAATTTATTATTGTTTTTGTTTTGGAGGGATTATTATTAGGCTGCGTTGGGAGTAAGGAAACTTGCCCAAGGTTTTCGCCCGTACTTAATGCAAGGGGTACATTGCACGAGATTGAAAGCCCGTCCCAGAATAGCCTGAGTTCAAATCCATCCTTTTGACACCCACCAATTTCAACAGATTGAATGAACTCTCTCATCCCCTCCCTTTTCTGTTTCCCCCTCTCTCTCTCTCTCTCCTCCCCCACCAACCCGCCCTCTCTGCCCCCACCTCCGAACCACCACCACAAAAACTGCTTTAGGTTTAAATAGATAGGCCTGCAATTGCTCACGCTGTTAAGTCTTGAGAACGTTGATAAGGTTGGGCATACATTTTTGAAAGTCCTTGAAATATTTTTTTTAAAAAAACAGGATGCCTCTTCGTTTTTAAGAGCTAAAAATAAGGAAAAAAGAGGAGTTAGAGAGGAATTAAAATTTTGTGCGCTCTGTCTTCAATTTCACAACTGAGATTTCAGATCCTGATTGTGACATCTGCAATTCCTGTGGTAGAAATGGACAGATATAGGCGTTCCTCTCGTGGGGAAAACATTGCTCCTTATTGTGCCTCCAACTCTAGTAACTATCTGGGGGTTACATGGGTACATTTGTGTCTCTCTCAGTACCAAAAAAAATTGGTCACTCAATCCACAACAGTTTATGCACAATTAACTATCGCGTTTTGCCCACAAAATACACAGTCAATTCACCTTACAATATATTCTGTGAAGCGCTTTGAGACATCTCAATGACGTCAGACTGAGTTCAAAACCTTGATCAGGGTCTTGAAACCACAAACTTCTGACTTAAGAGTACTATCAACCGAGCCTCCTGGCCAACAATCCCCCAAATAAAATTGGTCACATACTCCACAACTGGTTGTTGGACACCGCTGTGTGCAAACTGGCTGCCTCATTATGCCCAGAATACACAGTCAATCCACTTTACAATATATTCTGTGAAGCGCTTTGAAACTCTCAATATAAGGTGCTATATCAAATGCAAGGATAATTATTATTATTATTAGCTCGAGAGTAATCTGCAGCCAGATGAGAACTTCCTCCAGCTGAGCAAGTGAGTGGCTGATTGATTTGAGTGATTAATTGATTGAGCAAATGATTGATTTATTGAGCAAGTGGTCGAGAGCAGTTTTTGAGATCCACTTCTATGAAGGAATAATATTGTACCTGGACAAAGATAAGTTACAAAAAAACACCAGATTTGTGAATGTAGACTGATGAAACGGCTCTGTGTTAACAGAACAGAAACACTACAAACTAAAGCTTAAGCTTCCCATAAGACGGTTTGACTGAAGTGCAGAGCCAGTGGATCAGAAGTGAAACTGACTGATGTTCACTTGCCTCTTGCATTCTCTCTGCGGTTTCAACAACACAGAGGAACAAACAGTCAATTCAATTACTCTGCTTGTTTGACGGACATCAAAGCCTGGATGAGCGCAAATTTCCTGCAGCTGAAGGTCAGCAAGATAGACTCCTTGGCTCCCGTCAACATCTTCTCTCCAGCGGGTCTGAACTCAACCTCCCCAGCGAAATGATAAATGAAATGTTCCCTATTGGGAATACAGGCAGCTCATTCCCGTTAAAGAGTACAGGCAGCAGTCGCTTTCTTATATTGAATCGTTGAGCTGCCTGTTTGATGTAACCACTGCTGTGTGTTGCCTTGGCCTGCAGTACACCTTTATATATGCTTTGACTGTCACCCGAAGGATGGGGTTGGAGCAATGTCCTCCATCCCTCAATCTTGCCTCCTCCTTGCCCATCTTCAGATCGCACCTGAAGACCTTCCTCTTCGAGCGTGCTTACGGACACCTTCCACTGTCCTCCCTCCGGCTCAGCGTCGAGCTCCAGCACAGTTAAGCGCTCCGAGATGCAACCCCACAGTATAAATTCTATCATCAATACCATCACATCTCAATCCTCATCAAATTACGTGTGCAATGTGCAATTAGGCTGACCTAGCAGAGCACACACAGCGTTGCAGTTACACAATTTCCTGTTTTATTTTTCAAGCCCAAACAGTTTTAACATCAGATGCACACACATCTCGTTCCCGGCTATCTTCAGAGTGTAAGATTGGAAGGAAAAAAAGTCAGTCACACTTCAGCACTGCAACAAACGAGTCACGTCAAAACAGTCAGTGTGGCACAGAGCAAAAGGAAATCCGTGTGGATTGTAAATCTGTTAAACCTTCTGGGTCTTTGCAACAGAAGTACCAGGTGCTACGAGAGAAAAAGTGTTCCACCATTCTACAGAAAGTGAGTGTGTTTCACGCACGACTGTAGACTTTGTGAACTCTGTGTAATTCATCCTTTCCCAGTAAATCAGCAATGACTTGGATACACTGAATTATATTGAAAGTATATCCAGAATAGCCTGAGTTCAAACCCATTCTTTTACGCCAACCATTTTCAACAAATTGGATAAACTCACTCACTTCCTCTCTCTCCCCCACTCACTCACCCGCCAAATCACCACCACAGAGAGGCAGGCTGCCACTCGACACCCCGAGAGCTGAAACACGGGGCAGGAAGACTGTGAAAAGGGAACAAAATAATAGTTCAGGAAGAAGACAAGTAAGAAACTGCACCAAAAAAATCCTCAGTGCTAAAAAAATAGATTCAATAAAACAAAATCCCCCAAAAAACTGCCTTAAGTTTTAATAGAAAGGCCTACAATTGCTCACTGTGTTAAGTCTTAAGACCATTGTGCATAATTTTGGAAAGTTCTAAAAATTCTTTTTTAAAAAAAACCTGGACACAGTTGTTTTTTTTTTAAGAGCTAAAATAGGAAAAAAACAAGTTCAAACTTCTGCGCTGTGTTTCCAATTTCACGACTGAGATTTCGGATCCTAATTGTGACGTCTGCAACTCCTGTGGTAGAAGTTGGTAGAAATAGGACTCCATGTTCCTCTGGTGGGGAAAACGCTGCTCCTTATTGTGCCTCCAGCTCGAGAGTAATCTGCAGCCAGATGAGAACTTCCTCCGGCTGAGCAAGCGAGTGGCTGATTGATCGAGCGAGTGATTGATTGAGCGAGTGGTCGAGAAACAGTTTTCGAGATCTACTTCTATAAAGGAATGATATTGCACCTGGACAAAGACAAATTACAAAGAAAACATATTTGCAAATGTAGATTGATGAAACAGCTCTGTGTTAACAGAACAGAAATGCTGCAAACTGCAAACGAGACAGTGGGCCCGTTGTGGACCTGACTGATGTTCGCTTGCCTCTGGCATTTTCTCTGTGGTTTCAACAAACAGTCAATTCAATTATTAACAGTGAATGCAGTGGAACATAATCGCAACTACTGTAAAAAACCCACATTTGATGCAACAGGTTTTCCCCACAAATAAACCGACATTAATGCAGATTAACATGCCTGCAGCTAAATGCAACACGCACACATTGAATGCATCAGAACATACCCCAACAATCCTCTTCCACTCCATCGATGAGGTGTAAGGCCGAGGTGCAACTTCTTTCCTGTTCGAAGCACTGTGATACTCAGCGGTCTCTGTGAGCAACATAGCAGATAAAACAAGAGACGAGATAATAATATTAATAATAATCCTTGCATTTGATATAGCGCCTTATCACGTGGTTGAGACGTTTCAAAGCGATTCACAGGATATACTGTAAAGTGGATTAGTTGTGTATTTTGTGGGCGAAACACGGCAGCCAACTGCACACAGCAGTGTCCGACAAACCATCGTGGACTGAGTGACCAAATTTTATTGGGGGGGGGGATTATTACCCCTAGAAATTTTCCTAAGATTTTACCCCATCCGGGAAACGAACCCAGGTCCTCTCTGTTGCGAGGTGAGTGCTTTAACCTATGCTATGAAACTCCAAAACAGCTTCTGACTGTCTGTCAAGCACACATCAGATAACCGGCACAGAAACTCTTAACGATTCCTGGGCCCCAAATGCTCAGAGTTCTCTAGGATTGCATGTCGAAATTGTCTGATATATATTCTTCCTGTAACCTGTTTGCCTAGTTCCCTGTCAATAGCTGTTATCGGCATTGCTTGTGCGTACTCACTGTTTCACTGTGCTGCACGACACTGGCGATATTCTGCAGGTTTTGGAAGTTCTGTGTGTTGACGGTGCCAAATTCAACAATCTCATCACCGGGTAGCAAACCCTGGAAAACGAGATGAGGATTCCTCAACGTGTTAAATAAAACTCCCCGTCTCTTCACCCTGGTCGTATTGCAGGGGGAGAGGGGTCGGGGGAGGGGATGTTGGGGTGGGAGGGTTTGGAAGGAGGGGGGTTAGGATGAAAAGAGTTTAGGGGTGGGAGGGGAGCTGGGGGTTTGATTGTTGCCAGACTATCGTCTGTGACGCAGTTTTCCCGGAATACCTACGGCGACACTGGCCGGGGAGCCTGGGGCCACCATGTCCACTTTGGCGAAGGCCCGCAGTGGGGGGCTGGCGTCCGGCATCACGGCCTCCATCTGTGAATCGGTCGCGTCCAGCAGTCGCTTCTGTCGCTCTCGTGCGTGGAGCCCATGTAGCGCCTCCTCGATCCTGGTCATCAGCTCCTTGTGGTCGTTCTGCAGGCCTTCCAGAGAGGGAACACACGAGAGGGAATGGGTTGTAGGGGCAACATGTTGGGAGGAACACATGAGGAGGAACACATGTGAGGAAGAACTTATTGAGGGGGGGGGACATATCAGGGGAGGAAAGCCATCACGGATCACACATTCCTCCAAGACGTGTGTCAGCCTGGCTCTGGCGGCACTACTCTTGCCTCTTAGACAGAAGGTTGTGCTTTCAAAACCCCATGTCCATTAGGATTTGGAATCACACAGTGTAAGCTGACGCTCCAATGCAGCGCGGGGGGGGTGGGGGGCGTGGCATGGTCAGAAGTGCCATCCTTAAGATGAGACATCAGACCGAGGTCCTGTCTGTGTCTGTTCAGGTCAATGTTACGAGATCCCGAGACACTATTGGAAAAGAGAAGGGAATTTCTCTCTCCCAATGTCCTGGCCAACGATACCCCAAATAAAGAAGTGGGTGCTAACTCCATGGCTGTTTGTGGGACGTCGCTGTGCACAACTGGCTGTTGCGTTTCATCCACAAAATACACAGTTAATCCACTTTACAGTATGTCCTGTGAAGCGTTTTGAGACGTCTCAGCAATGCGACAAGGCGCTGTATGCAAGGATTATTATTATTATTATCGTATTCCCAACACTCTACAATACGACTCACAGATGATGTTGTGTCGCGCCGTTCGGACCTGGTAAATATCGATGTCAGTCCGCGGGTATCCCTCCACATCAACCAAAGGCTGCTCCATCCCAGCGTCCTTTTGCTGTAACCAAGTCGCATAATCAACAACAACTTAACTAGTCCCCCGCTCTGGGGAACTCACTGTCAACAAACCACCCCTCACCCACCCCCAATTACACACACTCCCATAGGACCTGGAATAGCCACTCAGCCCCTTAATCCTGTTCCGCCATTCTATAAGATCATGGCTGATCTGTACCTCAACTCCAATTACGTTCCTTTGTTCCATATCCTTGATACCCCGACCTAACAAAAATCTATCCACCTCAGTCTGGACAATGTGAATGCATCCAACATCCACGGCCTTCTAAGGAGAGAGTGCCCGATTTCCACTACCTTCTGCCTCCTGAAACCCCTCCCACTTACGAAACTTTCAGTCGACGGCTAACCTTTTTTTTTAAACGCTCTGTGACAGCCTCCCGACGTCACATTATGTCAACGTAAGTTGTGGTGTTGATGCAAACGGGCTGTGGAAAGCGTGTCAGCACATTGCAGGACGTCTGGGCTGTGAATTATATACATGTCCTATTGACACGTCTCAAAGCGCTTCACAGAAGATACTGCAAAGTGGAGTGACTGTGTATTTTTGGGGGGCGAAACATACAATCAATTCACTTTACAGTATATTCTGTGAAGGAGGATAAGGGGAGAATAAAAGTGTCCCTTTGAGTTCAGTCCCCACCCAGTGACATTTCCTTTTTACAAAAAATACCCTGTCACTGGGTGGGGGGCGGGGGGGGGAGGTGGCGGTATGTATGTGGGGGGGGGGATGCAGTGTGTATGTATGTGTGTGTGGTGGGGGCAGTGTGTATGTGTGGGGGGGAGTGCAGTGTGGGGGTCATTGTGAGGGGGGGTGAGAGGGAGAGTGGGGGGTGCAGGGTGGGAGGGGTCACTGTGGGGGGGTGAGAGGGGGTGTGGGGGGGTGCAGGGGGTCACTGTGGAGGGGGTGTGAGTGGGGGAAGTGGGGGGGTGCAGGGTGGGGGAGGTCACTGTGTGGGGGTGTGTGAGAGGGGGTGTGAGAGGGGGTGCAGGGTGGGGAGGGGTGCAGGGTGGGGGGGTCACTGTGTGGGGGAGGGGTGCAGGGTGGGGGGGGCACTGTGTGGGGGTGTGAGAGGGGGTGTGGGGGGAGGGGTGCAGGGTGGGGGGGGGCACTGTGTGGGGGGAGGGGTGCCAGGGTGGGGGGGCACTGTGTGGGGGGAGGGGTGCAGGGTGGGGGGGGCACTGTGTGGGGGGAGGGGTGCAGGGTGGGGGGGGGCTGGTGGGGGAGGGGTGGGGGGGGGGGGCACTGTGTGGGGGGGGGGGGGTGGGGGGGGGCACTGTGTGGGGGAGGGGTGCGGGGTGGGGGGGGGCACTGTGTGGGGGGAGGGGTGATGGGGGTGGGGGGGGGGTCACCGTGGGGGGAGGGGGAGGGTAACGGGGTGTATGAAGCTCAGCGCCGTCTCCTCACCGTCTCCAACACCTCGTAATAAGCTCTGATCTGCGCCTCCACCGCGTCTTTCCGCTCCACCAGTCGCTGCACCGCGGCGGCCGTCAGCGGCTCCTTCTCCGCCGCCATTGCTCCCGCTCCCGGGGGCCTCCCTACCGCGGGCCGCGGCGGACAAACCTCTCCCGCTCCGGGCCACCGCCGCTCAAAACGCGACCGCGACGCCACTACCACCACCACCGCCGCCGTCGCCGCAGCAGCTCGAAATACTGGCGAGAGATCACGTGGTTAGTCACCCATCCACCTGAAGGCACTGGAATGCAATGATCATTTGTTTATTTGTTTGTTTGTTTATTTGTTTGTTTGTTTGTTTGTTTGTTTGTCCTTTTTTTTATTTGGCAAAGGTTAAGTTGTCGCCGGCAACTAATAATAATAATAATAATATTCCTCGCATTTGATATAGCGCTTTTCACGTCGTGGAGGACGTCCCAAAGCGCTTCACAGAACACACTGTAAAGTGAATTGACTGTATATTTGTGGGCGAACGCGGCGGCCGATTGCGCACAGCAATGTCCCACAAACAGTCGTGGGTTGAAAATGATCAATTTATTATTGTTGTTGGTTTTGGAGGGATTATTATTAGGCTCTGTGTGTGGAGTAAGGAAACTTGCCCAAGGTTTCGCCCTCTGCCTGGAATTGAACTCAGGTCTCTCACTTGCACAGCGAGTGCTCTAACCACTGAGCTACAGGACTCCACAGACTGCGGCTTGCATCCACCTCGCGCCCCCTTTCCCGCCCCCTTTTCAGCCTCGCTCGGCGCTGCAGACCGCGCCGCGGGCTGTCACCGGCGGTCACGGTCCGCTCGCCGGCCGGTCGGTCGGTCGGTCGGGGCCGGTCCTCTCCGCCAGGCTCCGCTGGCTCCCGGTCACGGCATGGATCCGCTTTCGAGGTCCTCTCGCTCGTCTACAAATCCCTTCGTGCCCGGACACCTCTTTCGAGCTGCTCGCTCGGGGTCACTGTCAAGCGCTCCATGGCGCCACTCCACGCTTGAGGGCTCCACATAAATGCAATTTGCCGTTGTTAATAACAAAGCTTTGGCCACTAGTAACAATCGTCGTATTTCACGCGGCAGTGCCTTTCACATCAGAGGGACAAAGAGCTTCACAAGGTTCACTGTAAGGTGTAGCGACTGTATGTTTTGTGGGTGAAACGTGGCAGCCAATTTTCAGTCAGCACACAGTCAGCACACCTGGGGAATTGTTGGCCAGTTAGCAGGAGAAACTCCCTTCTCATATCAAGTCGTGTCATGCCCTTAGTTCCCAATATTCGTCAACTTCAGCCCAACCCAACCTCATCTGAGATCTGCAGATTAGAAGTTACTTTTTTTTCAATCCAACTTGTTTTTTTCTCTCTCTTCCTCTCTGCACCGAGGGGCAATGAACAAAGTCAAACCATCGCACGGTCAGGTGAATGTTATAGTTTTATTTTTATTTTCACAGCACTGGAACTTTTATTTTCCCTCCTGGAATTTCAAGACAACATTAGGGTGGTCGTGCTCTGTCTGAATGCACCAGGGCCTGAACATCAACAAAAATTACATTTTTATAGCACCTTTCACATCGGGAGGACGTCCCAAGGTGGTGGACGATAAGTGCTTCACAAACACCTGCCTTCCACAGTTACATGACATTCACCAGGGCAAGTGGTCTCCTTTCCAGTCCAGGAAATGCTCGCTTTTATCCGAAAGACTTGTCATCACTTGAATGAGGCCACAGATACTATCCTCTACGGATAACGGTGCCTGATGAAAGGAAACAATCAACAAGTTGGTAAAACAGGGGTCACTGAATGTGTGGAACATGTGGTGGCAGATTATGGCAGCAAACTATGCGAGTTATTTGGCACGGAGGCAGAAACTCAATGTTAGGTTCGCCGGAAAGAGACTTTACCCAATACAGGTGGTATGAATTACAGATCTTCTAATATCATATACAATTCAAAGGTTAATGGTTTAACACATACAATTATTATATCGTTAAATTACATTAAAGCAATAAGATTCAACAAAACCGATATTGCCCGATTCCATCGGGGGAGGCGCTGAGCACCAACTGCCTCACAACTGTTCCTCCTACAATAATTCCAACTATTCCAAAGTTACATCTTTCTTTTATGTGTGCCTAACTCTCTCTCACGCTGGGTGATCATGCTCATATTACAGAGATTGCCCCTAACCTTTGCAGGCTACTTTGCAGAGAGAGAGAGATATGGACAACTTCTAGACAGCCTTCTGGTGTCTTTAGCCCGATTGCTCATTATCTCAGAGGAGTGAACATATTCCATTAAAAATAAGAAATGTAATCAGAAGCTGACCTCAACCAGTCCAGTAAAACTATTTTTAACCCCTGCTAAGCTAGTCATTAAATCAAACCAACCTTATTAAAGGATTATGGGTAGGTTACGTTCTAAATATATATAAAGACTAATTAAAAACCTTAAAAACAGTAAGCATCACAAATATAATCTTACACCAGCCCAAAGACCCTCGGGCAGAATGACACCCACAGAGTAAGTTATACACTCGGTCCACATCCCATTATGCTCTCATGGGATACAGTATATAGTTTGGGACTTGGCATGTGCGTGTGACTGCCAGGATGGTGGAAGACGAACTGGATGGACCCAGATTTGTCCCCTCCTTCCTAACCTCAGGTCATGCCTGAAGATCTTCCTCTTCAATCATATTTATGGTCCCCTCACCCCACTCACCATGGCTTGGGTTCGTGCTCTGCTACTGTCAAGCCCTCTGGGACACTACCCTGGATGAGGAGTGCTGTGTAAATGCAAATTGTTGGTGGTCTTCTTTTGTCCAGCAACTCTTATGTTCTTTATGTATTTCCCGTCCTTTTTACCTCATTCCCACCCATATCCGTTTGGACCCAGCTGGGGTGAAGCGCAGCATAAAGGATTCCGTCAGGGTTCAGTTGTTTAGCCAGACACTGGGTGAACATGTTCACAGCAGCCTGCAGAGATATAAGACACAACAGCCAGTCACTACACAAGAGTGATACACACAGTGATGGAGCTCAGTACATACAAGCCAGCAACTGCACCTTGTTCCTCCATGGAGGCAATCAATGCTACTACTAATATTACTAATTATAATCCTTGCATTTGATATAGCGCCTTACCACGTCGTTGAGACTTCTCAAAGCGCTTCACAGAATATTTTACAAACACTGTATTTTTGGGCAAAAAATGGCAATCAGTTGCGCACAGAATGAGTCATAAACAGTTGTGGATTGATTTTTTTTGGAAGGTTTATTCCTCCTGGAAAGCGATCGCCAATCGACCAACAACTGGGTTCCTATATACAGTACTGCTGGGTGTGTGTGTGTGTGGAGTAAGGAAACTTGCCTCAGTTTTCGGGCTATATCCTATGGAGTCCTGTAGTCAGCTTAGCACATGTAATATTTTTTTAAACCCCCTGCTTTGTTGGTTCAAAACAGATACAGAATAGAATACTTACACCACACAGCCAGTTCAATGTTCTTCTAAACGATAGCATTGGTAGCCCCAGCAATTTCCTCATCAAACTGAGTGAAAACAATCCAAACATTCCTGCTCTTGCCTGTGGAGGAGAAGAGCCCCCTCGTCGGGACACTGACCTGCAGGGAACGTGGCTACTTCATGAGGGGTTAAACTGAGGTCCCGTCTGCCTCTACAGCTGAGGAAACAAGAGGGAGATACACTCTCCTGGTGTCCCGGACAACCATCCCGCAGGGTAGTGGTTAGAGCACTCGCCTCACAAGCGAGAGGATCTGGGTTCGATTCCCAAGCAGGGCAAAACGTTCGGCAAGTTTCCTTACACCATACACCTCTGTTTACTTAGCAATAAGTAGGATCGATCGGTGGATCGCTTTTCTTGGGTAATAATCCCTTCAAAAAAATACTAATAATTTGGTTACTCGATCCACAACTGTTTGTGGGACACTGTTGTGCGCAATTTGGTCCGCGTTTCACCCACAAAATACACAGTCAATTCACTCTACAGTATATTCTGTGGAGTACTTTGAGACGTGATAAGGCGCTGTATCAAATGCAAGGATTATTATTATTATGTCATTTTGTACAGAAATCGCATTTGCCTTCTAGACCCCTAGAGTAATACATGTGGATGTGATATAATACTGCTCCTTCAGCCACCACTCCTGAAACTCTGGAACCCTCTCCCTCTATCCCTCTGCCTTGCTCCCGCCTTACTCCCTCTTTCCCCAGCTTCAGGTCCCGCCTGAGACCTTCTTCTTCGATCGTATTTATGGTCCACTCCCTCCACTCCCACCGGCTCAGCATCGTGCTCCGCCACTGGGATGCTGCCCTGCATGAAGGGCGCTAGATAAATGCAAGTTGCTGTTGTTGTTGGGCCACAGTAATATGCATCCCCCTAGGCTGGGAAGCACTCACCTTGCTGGTCTTGTAGGAGTACGCATCATCGGGGCCCTTCACGTCTATGTTCAACTCCAGGGAGCCCAAGATGGAGGACATGTTGATCACAGCTGCTTTGCTGCAACTCAGACCCTTGAAGTTGCTCAGCGCAGCCGCTCGCTTCAGAGTTGGCACGAAAGCCTGGAAATAAGTAAAATCACGTCTCAAAGACACTTCACACAATGAGATTAATGTGTGGGTGGGTGGTGGGGGGATGGGGTGGAGTGTGCGTTTGTGAGTATAACACTGACTGATTGTGTGTGTGTATGGGGGTGAGGGAAATAGACCTATTGTGTGTGTGTGTGTGTGTTTTGGGTGGTGGGGGGGGGGTGCAGAGTGTCAACGTGCACTGATTAATACCCGAAGACGACTAAGGGTGCTTCAACTCTCCTCTCGACTCTCTACCCCTCCTCGCTCCCTCCCTTCCCTCCCCTCACCCTGACCATTTCCCCCCAATGCTCGGGTCCCGACCCAACTGTACAGCGCCTTGGGACGTCCTCCCGACGTGAAAGGCGCTCAATAAATGGAATCTTGTTGTTGTTGTTGTTGTTGTAAGGGGACAAAGGGGCTCTCGCTCTGTGCTGGCCAATGTCCCTGACTCACTTACCTTGGCCATCATTATTGGTGCCACTATATTGGTTGTGAACGTCTGCTCCATGATTTCGGCAGTCAGGGTTTCCAGTGTGTCGCAGGTGGCTATCCCCGCATCATTAATCAACAGGTTCAGCCCACCCTTCTCCAGCACCTTCTCCACCTGCTCCACACACTCTGCGATACTCTGAGAGTCGGTCACGTCTTTTTTTTAAAACCCCCCCCAAAAAAACGTGATTACAATAAAGCATTTTATAATAATAAACGGACACATTTGATATAGTGCTTTGTCACGTCGTCGAGATGTCTCAAAGCGCTTCACAGGGTATACTGTAAAGTGGATTGAGTGTGTATTTCGTGGGTGAAACACGGCAGCCAATTGTGCACAGCAGTGTCTCACAAACAATCGTGTTTTTTTTTTTACAAGTGAGAGGACCCGGGTTCGATTCCCGGCTGGGTGAAACCTCAGGCGAGTTTCCTTACGCCACACACGTGCCTCAGTTTTACCTCGCGATAAGTTGGAACCCGGTTGTTAGTCGATTGGCAGATCGCTTTCTGAGGATAATAATCCCTACCAAGAAAATTTGGCCATTTGACAAAGACGATTAAAGATGTAAATTAAAATAACAACTAATTGAATACGGACATTCAACACTCACCCAGCTTCACCACTATCACGTTGGGGTGCTTTTCTGCAATGTTCTTGAGATCCTAGGTGACATTGAGATGGATATGGTCAGCCGACTGGACACACACAACCCAAACCTTTCACACAGAGAAACGTCTCGATGGGTTTCCCAGGGGGAGATACATTGGAAATGGAGTGAGTTCTGGGGGGGGTGGGGGCGATCGCGGGAGCTAACCTATGCCCCTCAACACAACAACAAATTACATTTGCGCTGCGCCTTTCACGTTGGGAGGATATCCCAAGACACTGGACAGTCAGGAATTAGCACCCAAGCTGGGGTTTGGGATCAAGAGGGGTGGAGGGTAGGGAGGACAGGGAGACACACACACAAAGCTCAGACCCTCACACTCTTTCTCTCACACACACTAATACACACACACACACAGAGCTCAGATCCTCCCGTACGCATACATAGACTTGATACGCACAGTGACTGACAAAACGGACACATATCCACACACTGAGAACTCAGACCTTCTCACATTCACACACTGTGTAGGCAGACACACGCACACAGACACACACAGTGACACACGCTCACTCTGACTCTGGGACCCTCAGGCTCTCTGCAGCCAACGAACAGGACCCGCGGTGATCGCTCACTGTCCACCAGCTGGCGGATCAGCTCCAGTCCGATCCCACGGTTCGCTCCAGTCACCAGGGCAGCTCCAAGCAGGATGTTAGCCATCCTATCCCACTGACTTCTGCCTGGGAACGGGGAGGGGAAGAGGGAGTGAGGGGAGGGAGAGAGGGAGGAGCAGAGAACGAGAGGGAGGGAGGAAGAGCAAAGAGAGAGGTGAAAGAGGAAAAGCGAGGGAGAGGTGGAACGAGGGAAGGAGGAAGAGCAGAGATGGAGAGAGAGAGGAAGGAAGGAAGAGGGAGAGGAAGAGCAGAGAGAAGGAAGAAGGGAGGGAGGAATTGCAGAGAATTACAGAGAATTGCAGAGGGAGCGGGGGTGAGATGGAAAGATGGAGAGTGAAGGAGGAGGAGCAGAGGAGGAGCGGGAGACAGGGGCTAGAGAGAAGGAGAAAGAACAGAGAGGAGGGAGACAGAGAGCTCCAGGCTCCTCTGGTCACACAGACAGACCGAGACTCAGTGACACTGACAGACTCACACTGACAAGTGGAACCCAGTCACTGCAGCCAACCCCAGATGCTGCATTCACATCCCATGGAGCAATAATAATCCTTGCATTTGACGCAGCGCCTTATCACGTCGTCAAGACGTCTCAAAGCGCTTCACAGGATACAGTGTAAAGTGTAGTGACTGTATGTTTTGTGGGCAAAATGTATCAGCCAATTATACCCGGATTAAACACCGTGCTGGTGGACAAGGGAAAGGAGTCTCTCTCTCTTGTTGGACGAGGGAGGGAGCGAGGAAGAGTGCGAGATAGAGGGATTCTGGGGAGGGTATTTCAGGGAGCGGAGTGGGGGGAGGCTGGGGGCGCGGAAGAGAGAGAGACAGTGGCTGAAAGTTCAGCTATCAACATAAGATCGGAAATTAGATTCGGGGAAATGTGGTCAGAACAAGAGCAGAAGACACGGATACAAATTCCACGGAGCTGAGGGTCCTTCACGCAGGGAAGTGTCCCAGAGCGCTCGCCAGTGGCGGAACACAATGCCAAGCCGCTGGGAGGTGACCGACCGTAAGCACAGTCGAAGAGGAAGGTCTTCAGGCGTGACCTGAAGATGGAGAAGGCGAGGGTCAAGGCGGAGGGACAGAGGGAGAGTGGTTCAGTGTTTCGAGGTGTAGTGTATATGTATATATATTCACCCCAAAATAAACAACAAGATGCAGTTTATCAGAAAAGGTCAGTATATTTATGGATCGTTTATATAAAAAAGGTTCTATGGTACAACGTTACATCGTAAATGAATTGACCCCTTCCTCCCCCCCCCCCCCCACCCCCCCACCAAAAAAAATATGAACAGATAAATTTACAAGTGAAACACAACTACGGAACACATTCCACTTTTCAACGGCGATTTCAGAGAGACTCCCCGGCGGGTGGTTCCTGTTTGCACGCTCCAGAGGAAATTCTCCGCACATCAGTCTGGGAGGCGCGAGGACACAAAAATAATTAACCCCCGCACTGCCAAAGCCGAGAGCGTCTCCAAATCTGTAAGTCGCTCTCTTGCCTTTTTTCTTGCTCGCGCACGCACACACTCACTCACATACGAGCACCCCTCAAGGACACCGCAACCTGCAACCCCTTCCCACCCTCTCCCGCAAAAGAAACAACCCGCCCGTATCCGCCAAGGGTTCACCCTTTCACTACCAGGCAGCAAGTGACGAGAAGGAATTTAATTCAAGGGGTGGGGGACATAGCTTTGAGCAAGAGTTGGAGAAGCAAGTAAGCAAAGAGAAACAAACACCCCACACACCCCCCCCACCCCCCAAAAAAACCTAGGATTTGTGAATAAATATATATTTTACACTCAATGTTTGGATAAGAAATGATGCTGATTTTTCACTATATAGATTTGTATGAAAATAATCCATGTGAAATCGATCATCAGATGACAAATCTGACCGATCGCTCACTCGGGGGGCGAAGGGGGGGGGGGTGGGGGGCGCAGAGGGGAGTGGAGGGTCTTCTTCTCCCTCAGCAGTGGATTGAGCTGGTTGTGTAATTTAGCCGGGAATCACCGGGAACGGAAGGGTTAGAACGGAAATAGCAAAGTGTAGTAAATGAGGATTTTTTAAAAAAAACAAGCCAAAATGAGCAAGTTTTTTTTAAATAATAACCCTTTATTAGGTTCTGAGTCTCCCTTACAGTGTTTTTTTGTTTTTTGAGAAAAAATATATATTACAGTGGATATAAAGGAGGGGTGTGTGTGTTCGTGTGTCCAGAATGCAGTTTACATGGCTCTCAGATCGCACTCACTTTCTCCCTCCACCGTACCCACCGAGATAGATAAAATAATAATTATAATCCTTGCATTTGATACAGCGCCTTTTCACGTCTGAAAGCGCTTCACGGAATATACTGTAATGTGGAGTGACTGTGTATCTTGTGGGCGAATCGCGGCAGCTAATTGAGCACAGCAGTGTCCCACAAACAGTCGTGGATTGAGAGTGCCCTCAGCAATAGCTCGCGACGCGAAAGGCGAAAGGCGCAATTTGCTGTTGTTATTCTGCGTCACCTTAAATTTTAAGTCAAAAAGCACCGGGTGGTGGGTCGGGCGGCGGAGATCAATACGGACAACTATAAACACACACAACGCTTCGACTGAATTTCAACCGCAGGCTTCGCCCTTTTTTGTACAAACTCTTCTTCTCTCTTCCAAATAAATACAATTTGCACAGTCAGTCGTCAAGGGACGAGAGAGAAGAGAGAGCGAGAGAGAATGAGAGAGAGAAAAAAAAGAGAGAGCCTGACCATTGTTTTTTTTTCAAAGCATTTTTTTCCGGACTGTATTTTTTTTTAATGCTTCTTCTAAATCGATAAGAGGTAATATTTTGTACAGAATTTACAGGATACTAAGCTTGACACAAGCTGAGAAAAAAAAAAAATCACTGGCAGCCCATTGTTAAACATCCTTTCCTCCATTCGGACTGTTTATCTCCGCTAGTTAAGAGCCGATCCCCTTTTTTATTTTTTGACAGCCCTGAATTAGAAAAGTGACTTCTCTTTATAATAAATTATTTACAAGCTTCCGAAAAATACAAAGGAACCGGTTTTCGGGGAAGGGAGGGGGGAGAGAGAGAGAGAGAGAGAAGGGGGGGAGAGGAGGAGCGGGGAAAAAAAAAACAGTGAACAAAAACTTTCTCGTTCTTTTTCTTTTCCCCACTCCCTCCCTCCCTCCCTCCCTGTTTGTTTGTTTTTCGGAAAAAAAAATGTTTCCACAAGAAACAATTTTCAGAGAGGAGAAAGTTCTGGAGGTGCTATTTACACGGTGGGTGGATTGCTTTTCTGTAAAAGTATTGTGGGGAGGTTTGCACTTTGATTTATTTTGTCTCGTTTCCCTCTCCCCCTTACATATTGTTTTTAAACCTCTCTCTTTTTATTTTAAACGTTGACACTTTTTTTTTTGACATGATCCCTGAAAAAAATAATGAATGGCAGGGAGTAGGGGTGGGGGGGGGAGTGGGGTGTGGAGGGGGGGGGGGAGAGGGAGAGGGACAGAGCGGGAAGGGAGAGGAGAGAGATGTTCTGAAATTATTCTTCTCAGAAGTTACAATTTTTTTTAAACAAAAACTTTTGAATTCTTTCCTCTGCACAGGCTCTCGCATTCGGACACACACACGCATGTACGCTGACAGGCATATGCACACAGACACACACAGGCACGTACGCACAGACATGCAAGTGCACCCAGATGCACGCGCACGCGTGCGCACCCAGATACACGCGCACGCGTGCGCACCCAGATACACGCGCACGCGTGCGCACCCAGATACACGCGCACGCGTGCGCACCCAGATACACGCGCACACATGCGTGCACACAGATACACACACACATGCGTGCACACACACACAGGCACACAAATGCCTGTGCACACACAGGCACATGCACACACACACACACACACGTACACTTCCGTCACTCTCAGCCCAGATGCAGATAGAAATTATTTCTGTACAATTATACACAGATACACATCTCTCCTACCCATCCCGGGTGTGGATATTTGATTGGATCGGGAGGGGGGGGAGAGAGGGGGGGACAGAGAGGTGGGGAGAGAGGGGCTGACATTTTTATACAGAGCTCATGATCAATCTGTCAACGTGGAATTGTGTAATAAAAAGGGAATATAGTGCACAAAGCTAAAGTCAGGCGCCCGGCAGTTTGAGGAAGAGAGAAAAAAAATATTTTTATAAAAAGAGAGAGGGCGGGTGGTGGTGGTGGGGGGGGGCGGGGGGGGGGGGGGGAGAGAGGAAACCAGGAAAATAAAGCATTTTAAAAAAGCACCAAAAACGTGTACTAAATGCAAATCCTCCCTCCCCTCCCGGGGCCCTGCCCCCTGTCTGCCCCGTCCCTCTCCACCCCACGGGAGGGGCTTCGGCACCGCCCAAGGGGGCCACCAAGACCTGCCCTGTCCCCCGGCTTCAAGTACTGTATTCTGACTGGCCGCCCGCCCGCCTCTTCACATTTTTGTTTAACTCCATCTCACGTTAAAAATAAAGGAGAGGAACTCGCTCGGGAGGAAGGGGAAAAGTAGCAGCATTTATGAATGGGTCAAAATGTAGGTCGGTCGGTCTCCCTCCTCCCCTGTACCCCCTCCCACACTCCAGGGCAGGGAACGATTGACACAAGGGGGTGAAAGGAGGAAGGTGTGACTCGGTGGTGGGGGGGGGAGGAAGGTTTGAGAGGGTGTGGGGGGCTGGTGGCCTACAGGACTTGGAAGAACTTTTAAGTTTCTTTCATGACGTGATGTGACGGATGGGAGGGCAAGAAAGACAAGAGAGTTTCACACCAGTTTTACTGGGGAACAGTCAGACCTTCAAGTGCAGTCCTGACCCCATCCTCTCTTTCCCCTTCCCCGCACATATACAGACAAACACACACAGACAGCCACCCCATCCCCTGTCTGTGTGTTTTGGGGTGCCCCCCCCCCCTCTCTTGTCTCTCCAGAATGGGGGGTGCGGGAGTGGGGGGGGAACTCTGCCAACATTGGCTCAGTTTGTCAGCCCAAGGCACTGGGGATCTGGGTCTGACCGAAACTGCCTGCCCGTGCCCCCCGCCCCTCCTCTCCCCCCTCAGTTGAGGGTCCCGCGGCAATGCTCAGCTCCGCACAGACACGGGATCTTCACGTCTTCGATGGGGAACTTGTAGTCGTACGTGATCTCCTCGTTCACGTTGATCTGCTGTTTGGAGTAAATCACGATCTTCTTCTGCGACTCCACCGTGATGACTTTGGCGTAGCAGTTCGGCTGTTTTTGGGGGGAGGGGGGTGGGGTGGGGAAGGAGAGGAAATCGAAGAGTTAGAAGATTAAAAGATTTTGTGCGTTGTTTGTTTGCAGCCAGGATTTGAGACTGGGATTAGGAGGGAGACAGAGAGCGAGAGAGAGAGATAGAGGGAGGGAGGAGAGAGGGGGAGGATGGAAGGATTGAGAGGGAGGAGAGAGAGGGAAAGAGGACGGGGGTGTGGGGGGGAAGAGAGGGGGGAAGAGAAAGAAGAGAGAAAGAAAGAGAGGAGAGTAAGAGGAGGGAGGGGGAGAAGAGAGGAATGAGCTACTCACGTTACAGCTGTGGTTAATAAACCGGGCGAAGTTGCCGCATTTGGTGGCATCGATGATGGAGTCGTGATCCACCCGGAACATGTAGCTGCTGCCGATCCCCTCGTCCTCGTATCGTTTCTCCCGCATGTCAGCAATCACCTGGGGGGAGAGGGGAGAGTGTGAGGGAGTGGGGGGGGGGGGAAGAGGGGAGGGTTGAGTTGGCACTGTGCGTGTATTGGAGGGGAGGTAGGGGAGTGTTGTGTTGGCTCTGTGCGGATGTTGGGGGTGGGGTGGGTGGGGGGGGAGAGGAGTATCAAGCTGGCTCTGTGTGTGTATGGGTGGGGGGGTATAGGGGAGTGTTGAGTTGGCTCTGTGTGTTTGTACCTGTCGGATGTTCTGCCCCACGTACTCGATGACCATCTCGTCGGCAGCGATGGGCTCCATGGCAAACAGCCCCCACTCGTGGATGTGGCTCTTCGAGAACCTCAGCTTCTTCCTTCGGAACTGTGGGCGGCGTCAGCAAACAGTCAGACCCCAGCACTGGGGCAATCCTCCCCCCCCCCCATCCCCTCCCCCCTTGCCCCAGGTTGCCACCAAATGTTCCCAAGGCTCCAACCACAGTCAGCAACACTTATGCCACCCGCCCGTTACAGAGTGGAGATCTATCTTCTAGCAAGTCCCAGTGTCTCAGGCACAGTGCCCACTCCCACCCCCTGCAGCCTCCAACTCCGCTGCAATCCCCCTCCCCTCCACTCTCACTTCCCTCATGTGTCAATAAATACTTTCTGGTGTCTGTAAGTGCAGGAGCGAGCACAGAAGTGAGGAGCGAGTGAGAGAGCGTGGAAGTGAAGGAGCAAGCGATACAGTGTGGAGCGAGAGAACGCAGGAGCCAACGAACGAGCGTGGAGATCCAGGAGTGAGGATTAGGAGTGAAGTAATGAAGAGCGAGAGGTTGAAGGAGTGAGGCAATGAAGAGCGAGCGCGGAGTTGAGGTGAGGGTGCAGTCAGGCTGCACACCTTGAGCTGGTTGAACTTGAGGAGGTCGCTGTCGGCGGGCAGCCCCCCCATGAAGGAGGACAGGAGGCGTCGCTGCTCTGATCGCCTCTCGGAGCCCGCCCGGGTGGAGGCGTGAGGTTGGGCTGGAATGCTCATTCCCTGGGGAGAGATAGGCTGGACATCAGACCCCAACACAGCAATCTCTCCGCCCCCCCCCCCACTGCACCCCACAAACACCACGGCAATGTCCATCCTCCCTGCCCCCCCCCCCACTCCCCCCCCTAATCATGCGCCTGGCCACACATATCTTAATCAACACCAAGGGCACCACTAGAGTGCTCTATCCACACTGTGTTTCACATCAATTTAATTCTCACTGACCTCCCCCCACACACCCCCCACCACACACACACACACACACACACACACACACAGATAATTATCTTTAAAATAAAGAGAGGAGGAGATTGTGTAAATCAAGTGTAAACACAGGTAGAATTCGCCATGTGTAAACCATGTGTAAACATGGATTGTCAACGGCAAAATTAAATTCTTTGTGGCCTCTGTGTATTGACAGTTTGCACACGGAGCATTCAGAGATCCCAGGGCTGAAAGTCCGGCTCTCTCTGAGCTATTCTTGGTGGGGGGGTGGTGGGGTGTGAGGAATGGGAAGCCCGCCGCCTCCCCTTACCTGTGTGTCTGTTGGGGGCTCATCCACGGGGGTGCCGCTGATGTTGAGGTATTTGGCTTTGTCTTTCTTGCTGATCTTGTAGTAGCCCTCGCTGCGCGCACAGCCCGTCACGTGCTCCCTCAGCCCGTCCTCCTTCTTCTTCCTCTTCACCTTGGGCACGTTGGTGCGTGAGAGGTGTTAAGGAAAATCCTCGGGGTGGGGGGGGGGTGGGGGGGGCAAGAAGGGGAGGAGCGCAGCGGGCCAGTCCGCTTAGCGCTCGCACCCCTCAGTGCGCTTCACAGAATAGACATATGAACATAGGAATTAGGAACCATTCAGCCCCTCGAGCCTGTGCCCCACCATTCAATAAGATCATGGCTGATCTTCTAACCCAATTCCATCTGCCCGCCTTATCCCCATATCCCTTAATCCCTCTATCCTTTAGAAATCTATCAATCTCAGTCTTGAATATGTTCAAGGACTGAGCAGCTACAGCCTCTGGGGTCGAGAATTCCATAAATTCACTACCCTCTGAGTGAAGAAGTGTTTCCTCAACTCTGTTCGAAGGGGCTGTCCCTTAATCTTAAGACTGTGACCCATGGTTCTAGATTCTCCAAACAGCACGAGAAAAAAAGAACACAGGAAAGCCTAGACGAAAGAAGACTGAGGACCATCAAGTTCTCCTTCCACCATCCACCGGCTATATACTGTATCCCCAGATATTATTTCCTAAGAGAAATCCATCTCATTAACTTTTGAAAGAATCGAAACTTTCTGGTTCCATACATTTGCTGCTCGCTCAGGCAAGTAGTGTTTCCAACGAACGCGAGTAAAGGATATAGGGATGATGGACCCAGAGGGTGTCGTTGAGACAGTCCATGCAGTTGTCCTGCTGTAGCAGCTTGTCGTAGGTCAGCTTCATGAACTTGACATCTTCCTCATCCATCCCCTCGTTCCAGATGTCGTACAGGATGGTCATCTCCTCGAACTCCGAGCGGGAGCGGAACAGGGAGCGCGGGGGAGGGGGCTCGGGGGAAGGGAGCCTTTCGTACCACTCCAGCTCGTGCCGCTTCCGCTGCTTCCGGCCCAACGGGTCCCTGGGACGTCCTCGCTCCTTCCGGGCCTCCACGCTCTCGGCCTCACACTTGACGGGCAGTAACGGCAGCCTGCTTCTGTCGTCGCCGGTCCTGCTCTCCCAGGCGGGAACGCTCTCTGCCCGCCGCTCCGCCGATTCTTCCCGAAAGTCCAGGGTGACGGCCGCCGGGTCTTTCGCTCCGGCCGGAGCAGCTTCTCGCGGCTCCGACAAGTCTCTGTGGTCGGTGTCAGCAAGTCCTGGCCTCTCCGGGCGTGCGCACACCTTCACCTCGGCCTGCTCCTCTTCCTCCCCCCGCTCGAACCTTTGTTCAGGAACGCCACCGGGAGGGATCGTCGGGAAAAGAGCCGAAGGTTCGGACACCTCGGCCTCGCTCCGCGGCTCCTCCGGCTCAGGCTCCGGCCGGCTCAGCGCGGTTGCCAGCTTGGCTGAGGGGGCCGGGACCGGGACGGGGACGGGAACGCAGATGGGAACGGGAGCAGGCGGGACAGGAAGGGAGTCAGCGGGAAGCTTAGAGGAGCCGAGGGACAGGCTCAGGGGAGAGAGAGTGAGAGGGAGAGAGAGGGAGAGAGGGAGGGACGGAGGGATGAGGTTGTTCAGACTGAGGACCGGTGACGCTCGCTCCCACTCCGAGTCCAGTGAGGATTTCTTACACACCGAGAGTGGAGCCGCCGCCGCTCCGGGCTCCGGGAAAACTCCGCAGAAGCTGAAGTCCCGGCCGGGGGTGCGTGGAATGGGGGCCAGGCCGGGGGAGTGGGAGGGGTAGCTGAAAGGGCTGGGGGATCCCCCGGGGGTTAGGCTGTGGCCGCTGAGGGGGCTTCGGCGCCGGGGGTGGGGGGCACAGGCTCAGCCTGCCCGTGCGACCCCGCGACCCCCCGCATGGGGTCAGGGGTGAAGTCCCGCCCGGGAGTCCGGGGTGGGCCCTCCTCAGACACGCTCTTGCCCAGGGTCGGGCGCTCGGTTGGGGTGGGGGGGAGCCGGGGGGGCTCCGCGGTGAGGGGGTGTGTGACGAGCTCCCTCCCCGGTGTCCGTGGTACATCCACCTTCGGCTCCTGGCCTCCCGGTGAGGTCAGCGTCTCTCTACCCCCCGTGGCCGGTTCTGGTTCTGGCTCCGGCTCTCGCTCCGGCTCGGGAACCACCAGCTCTGGATCCTGCTTTCCGGGAATGTCGCTCTCGCTCTCCGGCGCTCCGGCCGGCGATCCAATGGGAGTGGGCGGCCGGACGGGCCCTTCCTCGCTCACTGCCAACTCCGGGACCTCGGCTTCCGGCGCCGGCTCTGGCTCCAGGGCTAAGGCAGGTAAACGGGAACAGAGATCAGAGACCAACCACAGCCCCTCACACACCCTCACAGACCCTCCCTCACACCCCCCCCCACCCCAGACCCCTCTCCCCAGCTCCAGGCCCAACCTCCTGCCCCAAGGCCCGTCCCTCGGTTACCTGGTGGTGACGGCGGCCGCTTTAAATCCATCTCCACCGTCGTAGTCGCCTCCTCCTCCTCCTCCTCTTCCCCCGGCACCGGCCCCTCCAGGACATCCATCACCAACACAGTCACCGGCTCCGTCTGCGCATCCCCGGCCTCCAGCCCCGGCTCTACCTCCGCCGCAGCCGACAGCAGACTCTCCCTCTCCTCCTCTTCTTCTTCCTCTTCCCTCTCCCCCGCCTCCTCCCCTTCCTGTTCTTCCTCATCCTCCTCCTCCTCCTCCTCTTCCTCGGAGCTGGACTCGTATTCCGAGGACTCGTCGCTGTCGTCCGACGACTCGATCTCAGCTTTGGACGAGGCGGCGCTGGTCACTTCGTCTGCGCAGCACACACAGTGTCGCCGCGGTTACACGGCGTTGCCAGATGGTTTAATGGTCGGTTACGTTTAACTGAATCGCTTTAGTGCGCCGGATTGTGAGGATTGTGAGCTCACACTGAACCCCAGATCCTCAACGACCACAATAATAAGAATAATCCTTGATATAGCGCCTTATCACGTCGTTGAGACGTCTCAAAGCGCTTGATGACACTGGCTGTGAAGTGTAGTTACTGTGCGTGCTCTGTAGGTAAACACTGCGAGTCAGAGGGGCGGGGGGGGAGGGGGGGGGGGGGCGGCGCAGGGGACATGATCAAGGCCTCACCTTCGTCAGAGTCCAGCTCCTCCTTCTCACTGGTCTCGGCGTCCGCATCTTCATCATCGTCATCGTCCTCGTCCTCCTCCTAGAAGCACCAGCACAATGAGGAGGGGTCTGAGCGAGAGAGCACGTGAGGGTCTCTCTCTCTCTCTCGCACGCGCTGGTCAGGGCAGCATCAGAAAATCTCGATGGGGGGGTGGAGGGGGAGGGGTGGAGAGATGCGGTGCAGTCAAAGACAAAAATCTTTTGACAGATTTTCAAAGCAGCGAGTGATGCTGAGGAGGTTTGTAGATGGAGTGTGTGTGTGCGTGTGTGTGTGGGGGGGGTCGCGGGGGGAGAAGAGTGGCTGAGTTCTCACTGGGGAGAGCAAGGCTGGGAAGGGGAGGGAGGAGAGGGCGCGAGGCCGGGGTGGGAGCAGATGACAATGAAGTTGAACCTTTTCGGATGAGGCTTTGGCTGAGATCTCGTCCTCATCTTCGTCTTTCTCCGAGAAGGACTCTTCCTCTTCCTCCTCCTTGCCGGATGTCTCCTCCTCCTCCTCCCCCTCGCTGTCCAGTTTCAGGGCTTTGGCCGGTTTGCGCCGCTCGCTCACAGACTCCAGGTCTCTCTTGGACATCTCCGAGGAGTGACTGGCCACGTCCGACATGTCCCGGTCTCGCTCCGACTCTGAGCCAGGCCACAGGGGAGAAGTCAGATCCGAGAGGCCGGCAAAGCCAACCTCACGGCAAAACCAAACACAACCGATTCCAACGGCCAAGCCCAACATCGCCAGAGTTGGTGACTCAGAACAACAATAACAACATATTGCATTTACACAACGGAGGGTGAATGGCGACGCGGTCAAAAGGAAGGACTCGATAATAATAATAATCCTTGCATTTGATATAAAAGCCTCATCGCATCGTTGAGACGTCTCAAAGCGCTTCACAGAACACAGATCGCAACGTGGATCGACTGCGTATGCTGTGGGTGAAACGTGGCAGCCAACTGCGTACAGGAGAGTCCCACAAACAGTCGTAATAGAGAAAGGGAGAGAGAGAGATCCCAATTCTCTTTTCCCAATAGCACTGTGGGAGAGCTTTCCTGTCTGCCCGAGCAGCGCACAGACCAGACCCGCTGTTAAGCAAAATGCAAACGAACCTTCGTCATCGTCGTCCAGAGGAGTGGACGGTCGGATCCGCTTCTGATCTCCAGCGCAGGCCGGGTCTGGGGGCTCCTTCCTCTTCACCTGTGAACCCACCGCAGAGAGAGTGGTGGGGGTTGGGGGGGAGGGGGAAAGGGAGAATCAGATAAGGCAGGTCTCCCCAGGAGAGAGAGAGAGAGAGAGAGAAACTCCCTTCTCTTTTCCAACAGCGACACAGTGGGTCTTTAACTTCCACCTTAACAGGACACTGACGCGGACCTCGGTTTAATAACGTCTGGTTTGAAGGACTCGGCGCTTGACCATTGGGGGGGTGGGGAGAGAGAACCCTCCTCCCCAGCGCTCGATTGCTGGAGCCTCAGCTATTACTGTGAGCTCAGTGTACCTCCCCCCACAATGTGACGGATTTAAATCCAGTCACTGCTGACTCCCCAGGCAAGAGAAGAGAGAGAGAAAGAGAGAGTGTATTCATAAGCACTGAGAGCGAGCGATCTCCTACCTTAAAAGAGGGCAGACGGATGGCTCCCCTCAGGCCCATACCCAGGCCCATGCCCTCGTACCCCAGCCCCTCCCCTTTATGCCAGTTTTCCAGCAAACACGTGGAAGCCTGAGCCGAGGTCTCCTTGGCTTTAGGCCTCTCGTCGTCCTTGATCAGGTCCGTTGATTTGATGGGAGTTTGCGAGGTCTGCGGAGGGAGAGAGAGAGAGAGAGAGACCTTTAAATAGTAATACATAACAATCTTTGCAATTCGATACAGCGCCTTAACATGTACGTCACAGCGTCTCAAAGTGCTTCACAGGCTGCACTGTAAAGTGTAGTGACTGTGTGTTTTGTGGGTGACACACACACACACAGATACTGTGACTCCATCTGGATTCACTGATGGACATGATACCCGGCTTTGCCACTGGGTGGCGATAGTGAGGGCTCATCTTTCTTTGTTGCAGATCAATAATGTGAAGTTTCATATGAAAACGGCAACACGTGGCGCGTGTGTGTGTGCGTGTGATGTGTGTGTGGTGTATGTGGTGTGTGAGTGTGTGTGTATGTGGTGCGTGTGTGTGATGTGTGTGTATGTATGTGAAATGTGTCTGTGTGTGTGTGTGCATGTATGTGGAATGTGTGCGTGTGTGTGCATGTATGTGGTGTGTGGGGTGTGTGTGCGTGTGTGTGCACGTATGTGGTGTGTGTGCATGTATGCGGAATGTGTGCGTGCATGTACGTGAAGTGTGTGTGTGTGTGTGTGTGTGTGCATGTATGAGGAGTGTGCGTGCATGTATGTGGGTGTGCATGCATGTGATGTGTGTGTGTGTGTGCGTATGTATGGGGCGGGGGGTGGCGGATGGACGCAGACCTACTCTCCCCGCCTGGCCGGCCGGCCGGCTCTCGGGAGTCGTGCCTGGTTTAAGAGCAGAACGCTCGGGTTCGAATCGGTTCCAGAACCCAGGCCCCTCGAGCCTGTCCTGCCATTAGATTGTCTCAACTCCAACCTTCCTCTTTGAGGGTGGTTATGGTCACCTCCTCTCTCCCTCCCCCCCCCCCCCAGCCCCACCGGCTCTGCATCTGAGATGCTGACCGGTGTCAGGGGTGCTGTATAAATACAAGTTGTTGTTGTCTGTTTGTATGTATGTGCGTCTGTGTGTGTGTACGTGCAACTGTGTGTGTGTACATGTGACTATGTGTGTGAGCGCCTCTGTGTGTGCGTATGTGTGTGTGTGTGTGCGCGCGCGCACGCGTCTGTCTGTGCGCGTGCGCACAAAGTGGGCGCTGTGTAAAACGCAAGCTGTCGGTGACCTGACCTGGCTGACCTTGGCTTTGCGTTCCTTCCGCTCCCACCACTCGTCGAAGGTCCTGAACGCCACCATCTCCACCATCTTGCGGATGAGGTCCCGCTTCATGATACTCTTCAGCTCCTTCATGACAGCCAGCAGCACGCCCTCGATGGTCGTCTTGTGGGGGTCCTCCTTCTTGGGCTCGGCGTAGCCCGGCGGTGGCACGGTGGGGTCGAACTTGGGCAGCGGCGTCCACTGCTGGCCGTGGGTGAGGTTGGCGCCCACCACGTAAGGCCGGTAGGGCTGCACACTACTGAACTGCACCCCCGCCCCCACGCCCACCCCGGCCGCCACGCCTACCCCGGCCGCCACCCCCACCCCTGCCCCGGCACTGACTCCAGTGGCCAAGAAGGGCGGGTAGTGGGATGGCCCTTGTGCCTGCATCATACGGCTCAACATCTGCGTCTGCATCTGGAAGGACATCTGCATGCTCCCCCACTGGGTGCCGATGCAGTTCATCAGGTCCATGGAGATCATGGGGTACATGCCCGGAGGGAAGGGAGGGAGATGGGGGAGCATGGGAGGTGGGGGTGGGGGAGGGGGTGGGGGAGGGGGCGGAGGAGGGGGCACGCCTGGTGGGCACAGGTCAGGCCGGGCCGGGAGAGGTGGGGGTGGGACGGTGACTGTGGGCGGAGGGGGGAGGGGAGGGGGCAGAGGGAAGCCCGGGGGTTGAGGGGGGAGCGGGGGGAATCCCGGAGGTGGGATGGAGATCGCTGGAGGGATGACCGCGGAGTTGGATGCGCTGACCACGATGGCTTTGGAGCAGTTGCCGCTGGTTATCGGGCTGCCCGGCGTCTCGTCGTCAGATATCTCCATGTCCTCACCCGAGGATTGGGGAGCCTACACACAGGGGGCACAGAGAGAGAGAGAGAGAGAGCGGTCAGAGACACTGCAAAGCTTCTGAATCCTAACGTTCAAAGAGAGGAGAGGAAAGGGAGAACGAGAGAGACATAGAGAGGGGAGAGAGAGAGAGAGAGAGAGAGAGAAGGAAAAAAAAACAAGAAGAAAAAACAGAAAGAGTCACTGCGCTTCAGGAAAAAGGGAGAGAGAGAGAGAGAGAGAGGGAAATGAACAGAGAGAGAGAAAGAGAGAGTGAGGAAGAGTAAAGGAAAAAAGAAAAAGGCAGAGAAAAAGCAAGAGAGAAAGAGATAACAAAGAAAGAGAGAAAGGTAAAAGCAAGAGAAAAAGAAAGAAATGGCATTTTAATAGCCCACTACAACACCAAGACACAAGACATCTGAGAGCACTTTCCGGTGATTACTCTCCAGTGTAGTGACTGTTATGTACGCCCCTCAAAATCTCTCAAAACAGCCACGAGGTGAGCAACCAGTGTTATCGGGAGGGGATTGAGGGCCAGGATACAGGGAGAGAGAGAGAAACTCTTCTCTGCGTCCCAACAGCGCCGTGGGATCTTTAACTTACACCTGAGCAGAGAGCAGACCGCGCGCGCCCTCGGTTTTAATGACTTATCCGAAAAACAGAGACCAACAGTGAACCCCCCCACCACCCGCACTGGAACATCAGCCCGGACTGTGAGCACAAAGAGTCCCCCCCACCGTCCCCCTCCCTCCCGGGAGAGTGGCCGAGCCACAGATTCATGTCCCAAGTCCGAAAGTTTGTTAACATTTTCCTTGAAATGCTCAAATTGATGGAGGTTTTCAAGAGATTTATGGACGGTTCATTGTCAAAGGTCAAGATTTCAAGGGGTCGCAGGTGGGCGGGGACGGGCGGGTGGGGGGCGCGGGGAAGAGGCCCTTGTTGCTTTAACCAGGATTAACCTCTCCCTGCCCAAAATAACAAACCGCCAATAAAAGTCTCCTTCGCACAATGTCACAGATCGTGGTAAGAAAAGAAAGATTTAGGAAAATAATCCTCATTCTGGGACACTTATTATAACAATAAAACACCTGTTTCTCCCTGTCCAGCTGTTTAAGACGCTGCGGCTGATGTGAACGACTGACTGACATCTACAGGTGTCCGTCAGGACTCGTCTCTCCGAGGGTAAAAAGACCCATCCACATTCCCCCCCCCCCCCCCCACACACACACACTTACGAGCCCTCTCCACAGGAACCCACGTTCACTGTCTGATAAAAGGGAATCATGGGCAAGAGACTCCCCCACCACCCTTGCCCACCCGTCCCCGTCCCCCGCCACCATCTTGCATTTGATGCAGCGCTTCATCACGTCATCGAGACGTCTCAAAAGCGCTCCACAGGATACACTGTAAAGTGTAGTGATTGCGTGTTTTGTGGGCGTCCCACAAACAGTCGTGGATTGAGTGATCAAATTATTATTCATTTCTTTTCATAAGGAAAGGATGAAAGAGATTGTAATGTGTGCGGTGTGTGTGTGTGTGTGGGTGGGTGGTGGGGGGTGGGTGGGGGGACATAGAAAGAGAGAGAGAGAGGCCAGAGTGGTGATGAAAGATATATTCCAAGGTGGGAGCCTCCTGCATACAGTGAGTGAGGCGTCACCAGTGAGGGAACTCTGTGTACTGTAAGACGGTGGTGTGTAGGGGTGGGGTGTGTGGGGGGAGGCACAGGTCTGATCCTGTGTGTGTGGTGTGTGTGTGTGGGGCGGGAGGGGAGGGGGAGGGCGTGGGGGGGAAGCGAGCGCTACAACGCAACAGCACAAGGCAAGCCCCGGCTCTGCTGTGAATGAGATCAGATTTCCACATAGACGCCCATTTGCCTTCTTCACACATCACATGCTGGTCTGTCACACACATACACACACACGCACGCACACACACGCACACGCACACGCACACACGCACAGCTCTGGCTGGCTTCCAAGAGGCCACAGCGTCTGAGCCAAGAGAGCACGAGAGTGAGAGAGAGGAGAGAGAGAGAGAAAGAGGGAACGAGAGAAAGAGAGAGTTGTTTTTTTGTCGTTCCGCCCCCCCCCCCCCCCCCCCAACTCTCTCTCTCTCTCTCTCTCGCGAGTTTGTTTTGTGTCATTTCCTTTCTGGATTGCGTCTCATTAACTCTCAGGCACCAACCCATATACCCGGCAGTTTGCAACCGTGGAGGATGGGGTGGGGGGGGGGGCGGCGGAGAGAGAGAGAGAGAGAGAGAGAGAGAGAACCTCACCAGAGTACAGGAAGGAAGGAACGTTTAATCAGTTAAATGGCCTAATAGCCCCCACCATTCTCTCTCCACCCTCCCACCCGCCCGCCTCACTCACACTCACACACACACACACACACACACACACAAAATCTCTCTCTCTCTCTCTCCAGGTCTTTATCTCAACAGCTGCATCGATAAGATCCGCCGGCAACATCGCAGCCAAGAATGCGGTCACTCAATCCACCGCCGCCCGTGGGACGGTCGCTCCGCTTTGCCGTATATTCTGTGAAGCGCTTTGAAGTGATAATGCGCTGTACCTAATGCCGGGATTATTACTGTGATTATAAAAAAAGTACTCGGCATTTCCCTGCGCGCCGGGCATCCCGTAATAAACGCTACCCTCGCCGCGAGCACCCCCACCTCTCTCCCCCCACCTCTCTCCCCCCACCTCTCTCCCCCCACAGTCGCGTTTATTATGGGATGGCCGGCCAATTTCCGAGCCCTCGTTTGTACACCAGACCGACGGGTGAGGTCACCCTTCGAGGCTCTTTATGGCAGTTACCGCTCAGTGTAGTGACTATTTCCCCCCCCCCCCACCCCCGCCGTTCGTTTCATCCCACACGCAGCGAAAAAGAAACGAGTCACGTTATCCGGTCAGCGTCGGCCAGGACCCCGGGGCACCGACCCCCCTCACGGTTACCTCAGGCCCAGCCGGGGCGGGGGGGGGCTGGAATAGCTGCATTGTCCTCACTTACCTCTTCGTCGGGCGGGTCGGGCGGTAGCGGGGGCGGGGGCGACAGTTGGGCGTTTTCCTGTCCCGTGTCTGGGGCCTCAGGGGGAGCGGGGAAGTGACATGTCTGTCCAGCCTGGTCCACAGGGGTGGTCCCGGCCTCCGAGCCAGGCCTGGAGTTAGCGTTGAGGTTGGGGTTGACCGTGTCCGTAACAAGTTCGTCCTCCTCGTCCGAGTCCGGCAGGGGCGTGGGGCTGATGTCCTCCAAGCCTGTGCTGGGGGGCCGCGAGGAGGGTCCCAGGCCTCGGGGCGGGAGGGCCGAGGCCAGCGGGGAGAGCTGCGAGGACGAGGAGGAGACGGGGCTGGGCTCCATCTTGACTTCGCCGTCCGAGTCGTGCTCGGTCAGGAAGGGCAGCTTGGTCCTCTGCTCCTTCAGCAGCATCTCGATGCGAGAGTCCAGGCTGTTGGGGAGACTAGGCCCGACGGCGGCGGCGATGGCGGCGATGAGGGCAGCGGGCTCCGAGACGAGAGTCTCGGGCGTGAGCGAGCGCTCGGGGGTGATTTCCCGAAGGGTGCAGTCGCCGGCGGTGGGTCGCTGCTCCCGTCGCCCGGCAACGGCTCCTCCGGCCGGTCGGGGGCTGGGTGTGTCGGCGTGGAGTCGTGGTTGTGGGCGTAGTGTTCCGTGGGCGGCCTGCGGTAGCCGTGCTCGCGGGGAGCTTGCGGTGCGGGCTCCGGGGGCCGGGTGTAGGCCGGGAGAGGGGGGGCTGTGGCGGAGGAGGCTGTGTGCAGGCTCTGGTAAGGGCTGATAGGCCCCGGGTAGGCCGCACCGGCCTGGCCCAGCGGGTAGGCCCCAGACTCCGAGCGCGAGCCCTTGTAGCTGTTGTACCCCATCTCCCCGCTCCGGTAGGACCCTGGGTTGTGGCCGTACAGGTGTCCCAGGCGCCTGAACGATTCCTGGAAGCTGGCCTCGGCCCGCCGGGGCTTGTAACCAGGCTCCGGGGCGAAAGTGTAGGCCGGAGTGGTCTGCCTGCTGGAGTAGCTAGAGTCCTGGGAGTAAGGGGTCCCCTGGCGGGGGGTGTGTGGGGTGCCTTGGGAGGACTGGGGGGTATACTGGCTGTAGGAGTTGGGAGTGTCCTGCCGCAGGCTGGAGTAGGCCGTGTCGTGAGAGAAGGGGGTGCCGCTGTTGGGAGTGACCGACGAGGGCCCCATCGTCAGGTAGCTGTCTCCCTGCCGCACCTTCGGCAAATCGTTGGCCTGGTCAGGGTGGGTGTGTGAGGGGTGGGGTGGGGGGGGGTGTGGTTGAAAGAAAAAAAGAAGATTTAGACACATTTCTTTCCCGAAAGCTCCCCCCTCCCTCCCACCCCAACATCGAACGAGATGTGAAACCGAGCTCCCCGCCTCTATGCCCCATTCAGGTGGACGTTAAGCGTCTCCCGGGGCGCTATCCGGGAAGAGAAGGGGGTCTCTCTCTCTCCCTCTCTCCCTCCCTCCACCCCCCCAGCCCCCACCCCGAGTGTCTTGGCCAACAATCCCCCAAATAAAACCGGTCGCTCGCTCTACGACTGGGACGCTGTCCGATGGACAAACATCGGTCATAAGCCACAGTCGCTGGTCTCATCTCCGGCTGAAGAGGTTCGAAGGTAGATGATGATGATGATGATTATTATTATTATTATTATTATTAAGGGAGAGCGGGTACCTGCGGGAGCTCGCTGCTGGCGGGTGGGGAGGTTTCCGGTAAGGTCTCTGTGCCCACGGGGAGAGTCTGAGGTGTGAACTGGCCGCTCACCAGCAGTTCGTAATATCTCAGTCGGTGCTCTCCTGTGGGGTGGGGGGGGGGGGTCAGAGACAGCACCATTATCACACAATACCCTCACACACACACACACACACACACACACCCGCGCCCCCCCACCCCCACACGCTCACCAGGCTACACACATGCGCCCCACCCGCACGCCACCCGCACGCACAATCACGCCACCAGCGCTCACGCACGCAAAACCACCAGGCTACACACACACACACGCACCCACACACACACACGCGCGCGCACAACCACGCCACACACACAACCACGCCACACACACAGGCTAAACGTGTTGCCCGCAAAAAATGTCACTCCACTTTACAATATACCCTGTGAAGCGCTGTAAGACATCTCAATGACAGAAGGCGCTATATCAAAAGCAAAGATTATTACATTATTTTTATATACACACACACACACAACCAGGCTACACACACACACACACACACAACCAGGCTACACACACACACACACAACCAGGCTACACACACACACACACAACCAGGCTACACACACACACACACACACACAACCAGGCTACACACACACACACAACCAGGCTACACACACACACACAACCAGGCTACACACACACACACAACCAGGCTACACACACACACACACAACCAGGCTACACACACACACACAAAAAACCACGCCCCACACACACAAAAAACTACGCCTCACACATACACACGCAACCACGCCACACACGCATATACACACACCCAACCACGCCACCCACACGCCGCGCGCGCCACACACACAACCGCGCCACACACCACCATGCCACACACACACCACCATGCCACACACACACACACAACGCCACACACACACACACACAACGTTACACACACCATGCCACACACATGCGCCACACACATGCACCACACACATGCGCCACACACATGCGCCACACACATGCCATATACACACAACCACGCCACACACGCCATATGGCCCCGTGCCCATGCGCCACAGCATGCCACACACGAGCGCCACAGCACGCCACACACACACACATTGGTTGTGTGTACGTGTGTGGATTGGTTGTGCGTGTGGTGTGGTTGTGCGTGCGGCGTGTGGTTGTGCGTGCGGCTGTGGCGCACTCCTTCCACCCAGTCAATGCGCGCAGGTCCAACCAATCCGTGCACACCCAACCAATCCACGCACACGCACACCCAACCAATCCACGCACACCCAACCAATCCACACACACGCACACCCAACCAATCCACACACACGCACACCCAACCAATCCACGCACACCCAACCAATCCACGCACACCCAACCAATCCACGCACACCCAACCAATCCACGCACACCCAACCAATCCACGCACACCCAACCAATCCACGCACACCCAACCAATCCACGCACACCCAACCAATCCACGCACACCCAACCAATCCACGCACACCCAACCAATCCACGCACACGCACACCCAACCAATCCACGCACACCCAACCAATCCACGCACACGCACACCCAACCAATCCACGCACACGCACACCCAACCAATCCACACACACAACCAATCCACACACACAACCAAACACACCCACTACTTACATACACATCCAGGCTACACACAACCACACTACATACAGACACACAACTGTGCTACACAACACATATACACACACATAACCAGGTTATATGCACACACATATACAGACACACACACATACAGATGCACATCCACATGCGCACGCATATACACGCAAGCACGCATATACATGCACACGCGCGCATACACACTCAAAGACAGATTTCATCCCATTTAATCAATCACAGTAAGACTCGTGTCGGTTTCCTAGCAACGTTCAACAACTTGTGTGTACACATGTGACTTCAAGCAAGTCCATATCACAACTTTAGAGCCCAGAGGGGGTGAGAGAGAGAGAGAAACAGTGCCAGTACCAGAGAAGGAGAGACCGAGAGACAGCGAGAGACAGACACAGAGTGACAGAGAGAGTGACAGAGAGAGAGACCGCGAGAGAAACATAGCGACAGACAGAGACAGCAAGAGAGACATGGAGACAGATTGAGACAACAACAGAGAGAGAGACAGAGAAGCAGTGACAGAGAACAAGAGAGAGAGCGAGAGACAGACAGTGACAGAGAGAGAGAGAGAGCAGCAGCGACAGAGAGAGTGGCACAGACATAGACAGAGAGTTTAACAAACTGCTGCTGGAGTTTGGCTGAGATTTAAGCACCTTTGGTGTCGAGCACCACGTGGATGATGTTGCCCATGACGGAGGTGCTGTGGAGATGCTGCACCGTCTCCTTGGCTCCCTTCACGGTAGCGAAGACCACCTTGGCGATGCCCAGATGCTTCTTGTTCTTGGGGTTGTACAGGATCTTGACCTCCTCCACCTCGCCGTACTTCTTACACATGTCCCGGAGGAACTCCTCGCGGACGTTGTCGTTCAGTTTGGCGAACGTCACCTGCTTGGGTGGCACTGGTCCCACGTACTGCTCGTCCACCTGTCAACGGGAACAAACAACACGTCCGGGGGCCACCGTTAACCATCAGCGGAGTTTCCGTGCGCAAGAACATAAATCATCACTTGGGCACTTCAATCCACGGCTGTTTGCGGGGACACTGCTGTGCGCAATTGGCTGCCACATTTCATTCACAAGATATACAGTCAATTCACTTGACAGTGTATCCTGCGAAGCGCTTTGAGACGTCTCGAGGACGCGATAAGGCGCTGTGTCAAATGCAAGGATTATTATTATTATAGGACTTTGTTAGGCGAAAGAAGACCAATCTCCATCTATTTTGCCTTCCAGCATCCTGGCAGTCGCTTTGCACACGTCATGTTCCCAAACTATACGCTGTATCCCGAGATATTATTTCCTAACACAAATCTGTCTATAAGGACATAAGAGAAGCACCTTAGCGTGGTGGCTCGCTCTCTCACTCGCTCGCCTCGCAACACGTCAGCCTAATTTTGACAAACAAACCAGAGAAAGGAGGTTCTCCCACCCGGTGTCCTGGCGGACAATCACATGTTGTTAAATGACTGTCCAGCGTGTGGCTGACAGTGGAGTTTGGCTGTGTGTGTTTATGTACAGAGACCTGTAGTGCAGTGGTTAGCACGCTCGCCTCGAAGTGAGAGGACCCGGGTTTGATTCCCTGACAGGGCGAAACCTTAGGCACGTTTCCTTACTCCACACGCTTCCGTTTACCTAGCAGTAAGTAGGAACCCGGTTGTTAGTTGATTGGCAGATCAATTTCCGGGGATAATAATCCCTCCAAAAAAAAAAAAAAACTTGGTCACTCAATCCACGACTGTTTGTAGGACACTGCTGTGCGCAATTGCCGTGTTTCACCCACAAAATACACAGTCAATCCATTTTACAAAGTGTCCTGTGAAGCGCTTTGAGACGTCTCAATGATGTGATAAGGCGCTATATTGAATGTAAAGCTTATAACTTATTATAAGTTTACTCCGTGCGCACTTTCCCAATGCTTCCTCATATTAATAAGAATCATTTTATTATTAAAAACAGAATTGAGAATAAACGAGAATAATTTAATAGTGATTTAAGCTCTTTGTTTTCCTATCAGTGGGTTACACGTGTGCTGGGTTGGGCTGTCAGTGGGGAAACACTTCCCGTTATTTTACCTTGAATTTTGGAATCGGTAAATCCAGCTCTTTGCTTTTGGTCCATATGCGTCCAACTCGGGGGTCTCTGACCATGTCCACCGGGGGGATGCCAGGATTCTGTAACGATGAGGATCGGGGAGAGGGAAAGTGTAGTAAAGAGCCAAGTGTAGTATAGACATAGACACAGTATAGAGGGATACACACATGCACACAATAAACAGAGACATGCACAAATAGTAAAGAGACAGATATAGTACAGAAGGACACACACACACATACACACACACACACACACACATACACACAGAGTAAAGAGAGACAGGTAGTATAGAGGGATGGACACAAAGAGTAAAGAGGGACACACACGCACACACACACAAACAGTAGAGGGACACACACACACACACACACACACACACACAGAGTAAAGAGGGATACACACACAGTAGGGAAGGACACAACATACAGACAGTACAGAGGGAGACAGACACAGCACACAGAGAGAGAGAAGGAGAGAGACACTCACAGTATAAGAGAGAGACAGCACAGACAGAAAGAGAGAGACACACACACACAGTACAGAGGGAGAGAGAGAGACACACACACACAGTACAGAGGGAGAGAGAGAGACACACACACACACACACACACAGTACAGAGGGAGACACACACACACACACAGTACAGAGGGAGAGACACATACACACAGTACAGAGGGAGAGACACACACACACACACAGTACAGAGGGAGAGACACACACACAGTACAGAGGGAGAGACACACACACACACAGTACAGAGGGAGAGACACACACACACAGTAGAGGGAGAGACACACACAGAGTAGAGGGAGACACACACACACACACACACAGTACAGGGGGAGAGACACACACACACAGTAGAGGGAGAGACACACACACACAGTACAGAGGGAGAGACACACACACACAGTACAGAGGGAGAGACACACACACACAGTACAGAGGGAGACACACACACACAGTACAGAGAGAGACACACACACACAGTACAGAGGGAGAGACACACACACACAGTACAGAGGGAGAGACACACACACAGTACAGAGGGAGAGACACACACACACAGTACAGAGGGAGAGACACACACACACAGTACAGAGAGAGACACACACACACAGTACAGAGGGAGACACACACACACAGTACAGAGGGAGAGACACACACACAGTACAAAGGGAGAGACACACACACAGTACAGGGGGAGAGACACACACACACAGTAGAGGGAGAGACACACACACACAGTAGAGGGAGAGACACACACACACAGTAGAGGGAGAGACACACACACACAGTAGAGGGAGAGACACACACACAGTAGAGGGAGAGACACACACACACAGTACAGAGAGAGACACACACACAGTAGAGGGAGAGACACACACACACAATACAGAGAGAGACACACACACACAGTACAGAGAGAGACACACACACAGTAGAGGGAGAGACACACACACACAGTAGAGGGAGAGACACACACACACACAATACAGAGGGAGACACACACACACACACAGTACAGAGGGAGAGACACACACACAGTAGAGGGAGAGACACACACACACACAGTACAGAGGGAGAGACACACACAGTACAGAGGGAGAGACACAGCAGAGAGAGGGAGGACCCTCAGCATTCCCCACTTGCCGGTGGCGCGTGTTACAAACAGTCAGTGTGTGCTGTCAATTTCACAGCACCTGACAGCACCCATCACAGAGGGCAACTTTCCCTCTCCCCTTCTGCCTCGTGTTTTTACTCTCATAATAATAATAATAATAATAAATATATATATATATTTGCAGAGACACAGAAGAGAG